ACTTAAAACATCTTCATAAAAACAGACTGTTTTTCGGACCATCTCTTCCAACGATCTTCGTGGGACTGAAAAAATAGCCTTTAGCTGGAGTTGACTATGAATCTTTGATTCGACATACCTAATGGGACGCGGATGTGTACTTATAAATCTCACAGAGGAAAACGAAGGCCCCCAAGCAATAGTTGTTGCAAATGATCTTTTGCCTGAAAGAGGCCTGGCATACACCCGTTACCACAAATAACTTACAACATTTACTAAATTCTTCCATAGATGTAAAGATTTGGTTTTGAAGTTTGGTTGTACCTGTAGAAAACTTATTTCAAACGAGATAACACATCATCATTTTTATGGAGATGTTGTTTACCGAGCCCGGAAATTTGGAAACGATCCTGGTAAACTTATCGATCCTTTAAATAAACTTATTCTTAAAGGTTACCAATTCAACACTGTAATTAGATCTTTATATATTGTTTTATTGGTATTAATATTGATTTGAGTTATCAGTAAATTAAGATCAAACTAAATAATATTTGTATATATGTTACAGTGAATTTGTATAATCAGGGATTAAGTATAATCCCTGATTTTTCATGGATTATGTAGAATCAGTGATTATATATAATCCTTGAAAATTACCAGTGATTTTACATAATCACTGAACATTTTAATAATTATTCTACAAATTCCCTGAAATGGTTTTAGGGATTATCAATAATTCAAAGATCCTTTGTTTGATAAAAATTAAAGACAAATTACTATTTGTTTTTTTCTTATTCCTTGAAAGTTTATAACAGTAAGTCATGAATTAAATTGTTTAAAGGCTCCATCTCTTATTTTTCATACAGATTACACTATTACATCATTATTCATTAACACAGGATGGGGGCTGTGTGCATGGATCTAGAAAAATAATAAATCTTAAATATCTCTACAGAAATATAAGTATAATTTATCATATGCACATTTCTACGATTAGCGTCTCATTAGTATACTATTGTTTTGATAAGATTTGGGACTTGTTATTAAATCTAGTATTGTTGGCAAAGAATTTAATGCACGGAGACATTTTGTTTAGTTGATTTGCAATCTACTTAATTTTAAGTCCATGATTTATATGACAAAAAAATGTTCTAAGTGTAAATCCACAGTGCATGTAATTTTTGGTAAAACAAATGGTGAAGAAGGTTATGGAACATCTGTTTGTGTATTTTGTGTTCAAATGAATAAGAAAATAAAACTGAGAGAACTGACGCAACTAAATGTATAGAAAAACAGGCAGAACGAATGATTGGGGTAATGATTTTAATAAATTTTTACATGATTCCAAAACCAAAGTAAAATTAGGTGGTCGGGACACAGGCTCTTAAGATCCTTTAATTGTGGTACCTCAGATGATTGTATTGAAAACTTTATTTCTCTTAGACGTGTAGTAAAATCTGATTCGATATTTGAAGGGTTTTTTAAGATGTGGATGTTGTGGCTGTAGAAAAGCAGGGCAAATGTGCAATATTTATATAGTCAATGTCATCCAAATTAAGTTTGTAAAAATAGATGATTGTTTTTGAAATATTGTTCTTTTAAAAACATTTTAATATATTTTGCTTAATATTTAAGTATATTGTGTTCTTAACATTTTAATGTATTGTGGTTATCATTTTGATATATTGTGCTTAACATTTTACAATTTATGTTTATAATAATGTTTTAATATGATTTTATAGAATGAATTATATAACTTTTATTCATTTTCTATATAAATAAACTAATTCATCATTTCAGTTATTATGTATAATCCCTGACATTTTTTCTAGTGATTATACATAATCCCTGAAAATTTTAGTGATTATATATAATCCCTAAACTGACCAGTGAATAGACATAATCCCTGAAAATTTTAGGGATTCTACATAATCACTGATTATACAAATTCACTGTGACATATACATATGCACATTTATGGCTCTACAATCTGTCGATACCTGTATCTTGGCATTACACAAGGTCATGTTTTTCTCTACTGTTTATGACGTCTTTACACTAAATCTGTTGGAGGTTGGATGTGTACTGATTGATATCTTAGTCTTAGATGCATGATTTTTTTCATTAGTTGTTACTGGCTTTGAACTAGCTGTCAGTAACTGCGAGTACTCTCAGATCTGTACTTAGTGTCTTTCTGATGTATGGATATATAAGTACACGTCCACGTCCACTATGTGTTTTTGTTAGATGTATTTCTAATTGTAGCCATCTGATGAGTTAAGCCTTTTTCAACTGATTTTTATAGTTTGTTCTTAAGTTGTACTGATACACAACAGGCCCAGGTTAAGAGGAAGGCGCATTCAAACGAGTTTAACCCCGCCACATTTTGTATGTGCCTGTCCCAAGTCAGGAGCCTGTAACTCAGTGGTGGTCGTTTGTTTCTGTGTAACATATTTGTTTTTCGTTCATTATTTTGTACATAAATTAGGCCGTTCGTTTTCTCGTTTGAATTGTTTTACATTTGTCATTTTGGGGCCGTTTATAGCTGACTATGCGGTATGGGCTTTGCTCATTGTTGAAGGCCGTACGGTGATCTATAGTTGTTAATTTCTGTGTCATTTGGTCTATTGTGGAGAGTTGTCTCAGTGGCAATCATACCACATCTTCTTATTTTTATACCCACATGTAAATTTTAAAGGCCGTGACTGTGTATTTGTACATCCACAACCGGCAACGAGCAACCACTGAAAAGAATATAGCTGAATTGGTACACCACATCAAACGGAATGCAACAATTAATTTATACATTCCAGAGAGACTGAATACCCACATATATAAATGTATTTAATATATATCAAAGTCCAAATCAAGGCTTGACTGCGGTATAAAAATATGGTTCTCCATGGACGTCTCCCATCCGGCAGTAAACCCCTTGACAAAATGGGGTGTCCATTTAGCTGTGCGGGACTAGTGTATAAATACACAGCCATGGCCACGTCCGGTCAAAACGGGACGTAAAATGTCCGGTGCATCGTGTAGGATGAGTGTCAAGCTCTCTGCAAATTAAATAATCAACATGTCCTCATTCTCTATTGACTGTCCAAATTCCCGGTCCATTCCAAAAACTACCTATTGTAGTAATTGTTTTCTTTTCTTCTTGAATATGCATGAAATAATTGCCACTGAACGTTAAGCAAACAAAAATCAATCAACTAACCGCTGAGATCGGAGTCCAATCCCGGAGATTCCAATGCTATGAAACTACACAAAAATTTGGAAAGGATCCAATTTGTGCTGATGTATAAACCCAGTAACCAAAACAACCTTGTCAGTTTTCACTTGCCTAAAACACCACATCGTTCTTGAATTGAAAATTTAGTTGAAAACATGTCTCTCTAGATCGCAAGAATAACATCATTAGGTCCATTAGGGGCTGATTTTTTTTAAAGAACTAACTACTTTCAAGACTTACCTCTTCGGTAATATTTTCCCAAACGTCTATACTCGATATCAGAATAGGAACTTACTATCAAAATGTTTTAGCTATTATAATTATTGTCATTATGGAATTACAAAGATTCCAGTCCAGCCTTCAATCCGCGGAATACGTGCTCCAAACCATGGACTCTGGGCTCTGCATACTATATTTGCGGATAAAGCCTGTGTTACGATTTTCTACATGAATAGGCATATTGCTTTTTAACTCACCTATTAAAGACCAAAAATGTACTTGAACTAGCACCATTGCTTGGAGTCCATCGGCGTGATCTTTTCAAAGATCTTCTGCTCTGAAATCATGCACTAATCCAATCTTCACCAAACTCATCCTAATTATATTAAGTTTATATCGTCCATGCCAGCCGAGTATTAAATATGGATGATCTGGCTAAAATAGGGGTTAAATAATGTTTTGGGTTATTATCTTCAAACTACAAGATCGAAAAAAATACCGTCACCTCAAAACGATCAGAACGTCACAATTTACCATTATCTGTATGATATGGAAGTCTGATGCTAAGTGGGTAAATTTTATTTAGAATCGGTGCACATATCTCATTCTGAGACATAACAAAAATTAAAATGGGCTCTAAGAAGTCCACACAAACTTCTATATATAGCATTATTTCCTTTTACATTGTAATATATATATATATGATGAACATTTATGTATATACAAAGTTACAAACCGGAGACTACTATACATAGTTATAGTAGTCTATAACACATAGTTATAGTAGTCTATAACACATAGTTATAGTAGTCTATAACACATATAGTTATAGTAGTCTCAGTATAAACGCATAAACTACGCAGCATAACAAGAACATAAATAATATCATACACAAAAACAATAATAAAAAGCATAGAGGGTCTAGCATATTAAATCAAGTCAGTAGAAACATAGTTAGCGTCAACAGGGAAAAAACACTAAAATGTAGCAAATAACCTGGTGAACTATTATTGAAGTAATCAACAAGAGGTTCCAACACATATCCAGCACTCACAAAAAAAAACCTATTATATATCACAGTTTGACAAATTCAAATTCAAATTCAAATTCTTTATTTTACTTTTCACAGATATCAACATATCAGAACATAAATCTAAAAAATAAAATGTATTTTAATTATAGATATAACTATGTATAGTCTCTAGCTAAAATCTGAATAGAACAGTTCATCAGGTATACTTGAGGGTTTATGGACTACACACGGAAAAAACATGTTTAGCCACCAAATGTTACTTCAGAATCAATCGACTCCATATAAGATGATCGCCCTTAACTATGATACTTTCTACCCATTTTGCGTTTTGGGCTATTATCTAGTAGAAAACTATAGATAAAGAGAAACTATATTTTTGAATTAACATGGTTTTATATATACGGCTTATGTTATTGTTTTGTGACATGCCGACTTTAAATAAAGCTTTTGATTTGATTTGTCTCATCCGGAGTTTCCTAACACACATTTTTTGTTTGGCCTAATACATAGTTATTGCCCTTGCAAAACCATCTTCTGTCAAACAAATAAATTTTGTGAAAAAAGCATGTACCGGCGAAATTTATTATTTTCAACGTTATTTAAAACAAACCTGAATGGGAAACTGACTGCAAAATTATCAAAAAGATCTGATCCAGGTCGTTCATTACGATGTAAGTGCTGAGTACACAAATGGCAACAGTGGAAGATGGAGAAAACACTTGTTTAAAAAAGGGGGGGTGTTTTTTTCTCTTGTGGTTTCCTATTTGATATTGGATTTGAAAGTGAAATGATTCTTTGAAAGTTAATTGTTTGACACAAAATATATAAAGTCATTGATTGGTTTTCAATTGAGATATGAATGATAAACTTTTTCAAACGAAAATTTGTGATGCAAGTGTGTTGATTCAATGATTGTCCCAGAAAATGACCTTGGCTTTACCCTGATTCAACAAATACCCTGGTTACACATTCTAATTTGGCATCTTCATCTGGAAAGCATGATTACTGTTGCCTGTTTTAGCTGTATTATTTATGATTTATAGTGATTATTTACATGTTTTAATGTACAGCCAAACTACAGACACCAAAAGCTCCCAATATGCAAAAAGTATAAATTAAAGTTTGGTTGTTCAATTGATTGTACCACTAGCCATTCTTATTGCCAGATAAGTTTCAACCAACTTCATCAATAGAAAATGCCATGTTTTTATTAGTTGATTTTAGATTTACCTTAGAATATACAGTATATGCTTATGATACTGTGTCCTCTTACACATGATATATATCAATCACATGTTATTGACCTAAGGGTAAATCTTATATATCAATGAAAAGATATTATAATTAGACAACAATTAGGGCTCAGGCTACTGGGCAATTAAGGAGTAGAAGTCATTTTTCCCAACCACCGAAAGAGATATCTAATCGTCCGGATGTTTATAAAAGTCTCTTTCGTCCTAGGTAATTTTTAATTTTATGAATTTGATGCAACAGCAATTTTTCATTTATAAGTAAAGAAATTCAAAGACTTAGTCAGACATTTTATTTTTCAAGAAACTTTGTGAAAACATTGATTATTGTAGACTGGGGCGGGCATATGTTAATAATTAAGGAAACAACTATTTATGCAAACAAAGGATAAAAACAAAGTATTTTATTTCAATTCCATTTCTTGTTACACAATTGTACATTTAAAGAGTCTGAGTTTGGGCAAAATAGATTTTTTTCTTCATCAAAAACTCATAGTTCATGTTGGCTCAATTACCATGATTACTGTATTAAAATTTATATTCTTGCCAAATGCTTGTCAACATGGTCAAAAAGATTGTTTATTTTAAATTTGTAAATTTTTCTTCAACTACTATTGAAATTTTTACTAACCACGGATGGGAGGCAGACTAACAACGAATAAAACTTTCTAATATAACTACAGTCACATGCATGGCTCAGCTGACAGGAGAAAAGTAATCCCAAAAGTGAAAAATATGCCTATTAAAATGTTTAAACCCGCTGCATTTTTCTGCACCTGTCCTTAGTCAGGAGCCTGTTGTTCAGTGGTTATCGTTTGTTGGTGTTGTTCATCAATGTTTCTCGTTTCCCGTTTTTTATATAGATTAGACCGTTGGTTTTCCTGTTTGAATTGTTTTACACTAGTCATTTTGGGGCCCTCTATAGCTTGCTGTTAGATGTGAGCCAAGGCTCCGTGTTGAAGGCCGTACTTTGACCTATAATTGTTTACTTTTTATTTATATTCAGCAGGCATTAATAGCCATTTGGTTAGATTCCCTTAGTTACAAGTAAATTGTTAAATTTATACATATTTTAAGGAAAAACAATGAATATCATAAACACAATAGTTTTCTTCATTGAAGTTTTATTCATAAATGATAACTTCTTTTTCTTTTATTTTTTTTTTCGTAAATCTGCATTAGTGCTAGCAATTAGTTTGGTTATTCCTGTGTCAAAATATAATTGTTTAACTACCGGTATAAAAGACAATTTTAGACTTGTACTGAGACACTTGTTATGAGAATACTCTCATGCATGTATTAAATGTTACTTGTTCAATATAAAAAGAATCATATAAAAAGGATACAAATGGCAGGATTTATCATTTTAAAAAAGTACAATACCCTTTATCACTATTTGTTTGTCATTACTGTACATCACAAAGGTTCCCTTAAAATTTTGACGTCACAATAGAAAATGTCTGATGCCACAAACATGACAAAGAAAAGTGATTGTTGTATGACGTCAATAGTTGAAGTGTTGCAGATTCTCGGGTCAAGTGTGGCAGATTCCCAAATAGCGATCACGTCTATTGCAGTATGCCATCATAATTCATAATGTTTTCTATGAAATTTTAAATTTTCAGGTCATTCAATAGGAGGCGGTAACCAGTTCTTTTATCCTTCCTTTTTACTTATAAGAACTGCTGGAATTTAAGAATTTTTATATCAAGTATTCATGGAAAATATATTGAAAAGTACCACCTACAAATGGAAAAAGTGCCAGTCAACATGAAAGATATTGAAAGCACTGAATATTGTCAAATGAGTGTGTGTCCATTTTATGTTTAAAAAACTAATTTTTCAGAAATTGGACACCGGTTTCTCTGGAAGATTAATACCATATGACTGGCTTTGCCCCGCAGCCAGAGGTATAGCTTCCAATCATATATGGAATGTTGTGAAGTGCTCAAATGTTGGAGAATGTTTACTTCAATGTGTCTATAACTAAACATTATACATGATGTGAATTATGTTGTTTAAATCAAACTAGTTGTAAGTTAAAATTACAGAAGGTTTTGAATATTTTAAAAAAGCTATGTTCATATCTTGAATCATTGTGTCATCTTGATTCTCGTTCTCTGTGTTCCTGAAAACTGGTTTTCCTGTCCGTCCTGACCACCAAAAATCAGCCACATCCATCAATTGTGAGTTTATTGGTGGTCCTGATGTCCAACTAAAATTTTTCAGTGGTTTTGTTTTTTTAGGATGTCTGGTATTTAATGTAGCTCCTGATTACAATGTATATTAATATTTGAGAAGTTAACCATATTATAATTGTCCAAATTGGACTAATCTTATATTCATACCTACATGCATGGAAATAATATTTTGACAAATACTGAACCACCAAATTTTTACTGGGACCACCAGATATGTAGTACATTGTAGTATTGGTGGTCCTAATGAAAACCAGACTAAAAAAGATAAATTTCTGTAAGTATTAGTTTCTCCTAGTTTCCTGTTTAATGATGGAAAAGGGTACTCGTTCCATTTTCTAAATTATTCTGTATGTTGATTCATGCTTGCAGGTAGTTATCCTTTGGCATAGATTGCAATGGCAATTCCTTTATAGATGCAGTGATTAAAATATACATACAATCCATGTAGATGTCATGTCCTGATTAGTTTTTAGCGGCGGGGGCATTAAGTGTAACTTTGACCGTTTGTCTTTCCGTCTGTCCGTCTGTCCCATTTTTGTTGCAAATCTTGAGCAGGGGCATTCGTGTCCTCAGACACATTCTTCTTTTTAATATTTATTTTTATGTAAAAAAACAGCTTCAATGACAACACAGTAAACTTACTTTAGATATACTGGTACATGATAGATAATTGTAAATAATAGACCAAAATATTTGGTTATGTTTCCTGCCTCCCTACCAACCCTAAATTTTCATGCCTACCCTAACAAATTTTATGGACATTTTTGTTTAAGCACTGTTAAAATCCAAATATTTTTTGGTTAAGCACTGTGCAAGTACAGAATATTTTCCTATATAGTCGATGTAATATATTTAAAAGATAAAATCATTATACCTATCTACCAACCCTATTTATTACTGCAAGCAGATAGTAAACAAGTAAATTTATATTTTTTTAGCCTTATGTATGATTAGACACTTATGTCTTCAAAAATAGGAAATTTTATTATTTGAACTTAGATCCTGAAATGAAAATTGCTGAACTTACTCTGAAAATATATGTTTAGATATCTTACTGTTATATATATAAATAAGTCTAAATTGAAAACAACGTTCAAACCTATGATTGCGTTGGATAAAAACCGCAATTTTTATACGTGTGCATGCAAAACAAATTTCTTCGTAGAGGGGTCTAAATACAGCACAAACAACATTTTCCAAAAGACCAAAAAAGTGAAAAAGTATATATTTAAACAAAACGCATTTGACTAACAGGTCGAACAACGGATGTTCTTAAACCATGCTGACTGCCATTGGCGATTGCCAAATAAACGGATCACAAGATGTAACAAAATGGATCTTTAATATTAATTTAATACCAAACAGAAAACAATAAACTTGCGGAAAAGATGGTATACCGCAAACATGAGGTGCAAAAAATTTTGTACACCATATCCGGATTTCGACTATATATACATGATATATGGTATGTGTTTTTGCCTATTGTAGGTTTAAACTTGAAACTGATATCCCAACAAAGACATCAACATATACGATGTTTATGCAATACAGAATCACACAGAAAGACATTACACAGTGGCCATGACAGACAACAACATGACTACAGAAGTTTTAGTAAAAGTTCATGGATGATGGTCGCTGGAGCAGGATTATTCTCTTACTCTGTAAAAACATTATAGTACAAATATAAAGAGGGACAGATATTCCAAGGGGAAAGGAAATCAAAAGTTGTGATACATCATTCCTCAGTTTTAAAATAACACTGTAACAACCTTTTGATGCCCCCGCCGTAGCGGAGGGGGCTTTAAGTTTTACCCTTGTCCGTCTGTACGTCCGTACATCCGTCCGTACGTCCCGAAATTGTTTTCCGTTCTCTAACTTAAGTTTACCTCAACTAAATGTTATGAAACATATACACAATGCTAATTACCATAAAACACAGATCAAGTTTGAATTTTGGTGGTGTCACTTTTTCCATTCTAGAGTTATGCCCCTTTACAAATGGAAAAATTGCTGAATTTTTCATTTCCATTCTCTAACTTTAGTTTACCTCAACCAAATGTTATGAAACTTATACACAATGCTTATTGCCACAAAACACAGATCAAGTTTGAATTTTGGTTGCGTCACTTTCACCATTATAGAGTTATGCCCCTTTACAAATGGAAAAATTGCTGAATTTTCGTTTCCATTCTCTAACTTTAGTTTACCTCAACCAAATGTTATGAAACTTATACACAATGCTAATTACCACAAAACACAGATCGAATTTAAATTTTGGTGGCGCCACTACTTTTACCATTCTAGAGTTATGCCCCTTTACTAATGGCAAAATTGCTGAATTTTTCGTTTCCGTTCTCTAACTTAAGTTTGCCTCAACCAAACTTTATGAATCTTATACAAAATGCTTATTACCACAAAACAGAGATTAAGTTTGAATTTTGGTGCCGTCTCTTTTACCGTTCTAGAGTTATGCCCCTTTACAAATGGAAAAAAATTGGTGAATTTTTCGTTTCTGTTCTCTAACTTAAGTTTACCTCAACCAAATGTTATGAAACTTAAACATAATGCTTATAACCACAAAACTCAGATCAAGTACAAGTTTGGGTAGCGTCACTTTTACAGTTCTTGAGTTATGTCCTTTTATAACGTAATTTGCAAGTGGGGGCATCATCTGTGTCTCATGGACACATTCCCCATTTATTTTCAATGTAATAAAGTCAATTCCTTAAAATGCTAATTGTAATTTGATATTTTATACAGTAGATCAGATAACTTTTTAAATTTTTATCATTTTGTTCATTAGCCTTGTTTTTTTTACATGGTTAGTCATAGGTACAGTGCAATACTATCAGCTTAATCAGACCTTTTAAGTTTGATCTCTCTCTCTAGGGAAATTTGTCATGGAACCAATTTAACATTTTGTTTTCAATATTTTATCCTACTTTTTGCTGCTGAATTATAAATGTTTGAAAAAATACCAATCTATACTCAAATAAAGCCTATCATTTATGAGTCAATTAGGTTAAATACGATGTCAGGTGGCATAGGCACTTTAAATTTGGTAAATAAACAATGCTTTAAAAATAACTTGTAAATTTTTACATGACAACTTCTAAATTAATAAGGGTGTAAAAGAAGAATCAAGAAAATTTCCCCAAAAATGAGAGATTTGATCTCCTTGGAGCTGGTCTACAGAAAAGATTTTCCAAAATTAAGAAAATATTGGGAGGTTCCCATCCATGATCACTGGAGAATTGACACCCATTGGTTAGTTTAAACATATTTTATTGTTCAAAATGACAAATGGATCAGACACAAGTTTTATAACTTAGTAACGTCTTCTCCAATTGGTTAATTTATACTTGTTATAAAATTTATTTATTACTGAGTTTTGTTGCATAAGTTCCAATGCCAATAACTTGAATACTGAAATATACCATCATTTCAACCAACCATCTTGTCCTGTTTTGATTGTCCTAATGTTTGATGTTTCTCTACTAATTTATTGTCTGACTACAGATGACAATGTTTGTAGGAAGGTCCTACCAGTTGTTTCTTTGATATATTAATAACTCTAAAATATGTACTTTTAAAAAAACATCTACAGTATATGAAAATCATGTTTACATTTTCTTGATGTTTGTGTAAGTTTTGCAAGCATATCATGGGAAATGATCAACATTTAAAAAAAAAGCATTTTCAAATGATGAAAGTGATTAAAAAGTTTTACTACATGTACTTTCCGTTATTGCCAGTTACTGTTTGTCAGCCGATAACTCTTGAATCTGTTTTTATGTAAAAATAAGAAGATGTGGTATGATTGCCAATGAGACAACTCTCCACAAGAGACCAAATGACATAGAAATTAACAACTATAGGTCACTGTATGGCCTTCAACAATGAGCAAAACCCATAATCTGTTTTAGGTATGGAAAGCTAGACATCAATTACAAGATCTGAGGAATCAATTTACTGTTTATGCGCTTGATGATGAGAAGGATGATAAAGATAGTAGTACAGACAAAACAGAAACAAAAGCACAGGGTATGTACATGTAACAAAATCTCTGCCTTGCAGCAATTAATGTGGATTCATTATTATTCCTGGGATACAAATTTTAGTGGATGTCATGGTTAAATGTGAACTCATATTTTAATGTTCAACCACGTATACATTTTTTAAAGGCTTGTATCTAGACCGGCAAAATAGTGATTCATATAATATATCCTTGAAAAATACAAATTTCCCTCAATCCACGAAAATAAATGAATCGTCAATATGATTTTTATTGACCCTGTTGTAGAGTATCACTTGAACTGTTCTGGCAAGATGCAAACACTAATCAATCATTTATTTAGCTGATCTAGATAAAATTATGGAGGGTTGTGTTCTCAAGGGACTATTTTGACCAGACCAAATGTTAATGGGACTGGTCCAAATTTGGACCTTGCTCATTGTTGCTAGTTACTGTCTTTAGTCACAACTTACTGATTTTTTTTGCTTTGAAAGATTTTGTTATAATTGAAGACTTTGGTAATCTACAGTGGATTAATTTATTTTTAGTGGATACCAGTTTTTGTGGATTGAGGAAAAATTGTATTTTCATGGATATTTGATTTTGTGGTTTTGTCAAAGTTTGCAAGTAAGCCTATAGAAAATTTTATTTAACCTTTGAATTCATGGTTAACTTATACATACTAAATCCATGAAAACATTGGTATCCCACGAATAAAAATTAGTCCACAGTATTAAATTTATGAACAGCTTATCTAGACCCTGGGTGATGTAGAGCTTGACATATATTTTATATACTTGATTATGGTGAAGACCATTTATAAAAATAATGAGATGTGGATTGATTTCCAATGAAACAACTTTCCACCAAGGACCAAATGACTTGGATGAAACTAACTATTGATAACCTTAAGGAATTCAACAATGAGTAAAAACCATACCCATAGTCTGCTATAAAAGGCCTAATCATGCCAAAATGTGCATATTAACATCTTAATTTTTTTTTTTTTTTTGCTTGGTGACTACATGACATATATTCTGTTATTTATTCAAAATCTCTTTTTTGTTATGTGTATTTCAGAACCAACCACACCAAATGATCAGGTTATACCTTCCTATGTACCTTACCTGTTGATTGGAGCAGGAACTGCATCACACAGTGCAATGAGAGCAATCAGACTCAGAGACCATAAAGCTCAGGTACCAGATAGTTATATCAATAGTTAACTTAAACAGTGTTCCAGCTAGGTCGTTTTCACAGGGCGGTCCGTCCGACCTTTCCCGAGTGCCGCCCTGTGCCCTTTTTACAGTTTGCAGGGCGCCCTGCCTTTTTTGAAGATCGATTGGTATATTATTTTGTTCGTATTGATATGATCAGCCAATTACGAAAATTTACCTGGCGACAAGTATATGACTTTGTTTACGACCACAAGCTAATCAACGGTTACAACAGGTGTCATAATCTGTTGTTATAGGTAATCCGTTTATCGGATGGGTCATTTAATGATCATCAACATTAATTCATTCAAATAGAATCGGTCAGTCGGCATTTGTCTTTGAACTTTAAGAAATGTTCATACAACTTGGGCACAATTAGCAATGTTTACCGTAGTTTCATGGAGAAAACGTAATTGACAGAAAGTCGAAAACCATAATCAACTCGTTAAAAACATTGCTCTTATTGTTTTCCGTGAAATAAATAGCAAATTAAGACGTATTTTTCATTGACTGCCTTCATTTTTTATACGAAAATAACAAAATCTGCCGCCATATTGTTGATCGTATTTACATCTTCTACGTACTGTTTATTATCCTCCAAAGAAGGAGCACACCCAAATAAAGAAAGATAACTCAATCTTATTTTTTCCTAGCATTGAGTAACCTACTAAGATATTATAAAATATGTCTTCATACTTCTGGCTTTAGAATTTATATGTTTAGGTGTTTCGAGTTATGGGAAAAGTTAAAGAGGGTCTTAGTAGCAGGGTTGGTAGGGTGCCTTGGTCATCTTTTTCTGTATTTTTTATTTTCAATCCAAATTTTCACTGTTCACTATATCCTAACATTGTGCATTTACAGCTGTTTTGTGCTGTATTGCCATTAAGCACAGAAAAGGTAGAAAGGTGAAACTTGTAAAGTGTGTCAGACCATAGAAACAGAATGAAGCAGGACATTTTTCAAAACATACTGCATATATCAAGCTTAACTGTGCCAAGCAATGATAAAAAACTTGTGTCACAAGCTGCTTGATAAGTTTTCAGCCTAAAAAGTAGAAAGATAGTTTTTCTCTGGGCTAATGATAATGTTCTTGTATATTTATAACCAGTGATTCAATGAACAAACAATGTTTGATTATAATCTTTATTAAAACATGCCCTTTTCATATTATCACGCGTTAAATGCCCTTTTTCAGGATTGGCACCCTGCTCTTTTGAAATCCTAGCTGGAACACTGTTAAAATATGCTTATAGACCTTATGGAAAATATAGGGCTGTGCGGCATATTTTCAACATTTATATGCCTCGAACTTCTAAGAGTTTAAAGTTATACTAAAATTCTGTACTACCCCTCCCTTCACTGTGGGTCTTCCCCAGAATTCAATTTAGCCGCTATCCATGTGTATTTATACTGGTAACATTCCCAAGTTATGTCTCTACGAGATGAAACATAGAGATCATATCCGGAAACCAGTAGGTAAACAAAACAAAATACCTATGAATATTATATATCTCCCCAATAGAGGCGTGGTTTGTGAAACAGCTGTATTTACAAAGTGCAACCTATAAGCCATGTACATAACTACAGAATATTGGGACAGAACTAGAATTTAAGTATGCAAATGTTTACTACAAGGAGCTTTGCCATTCTTATTATTTTGTTTGTTTGAAGAAAAACTTTAACTCTTAAAATTTCATCAAATGAAATGGGTTTTTGTCAGTCGAGTTGAGTGAGAATTGGATGAAGTCAAAAATGAAAATAATGAACAGATTGACTATGGTCTGTTAAACTCAAGGAAAGTTCTCAGCTTCATCTCATCTTAGTGCTAATGCTATTCAATGAAATTGTAGCCGAGAAACACCAAACTTGTTTTCAAAACCAAAAATAATCTATAAGTAAAAGAGTGATTATCTATTTACAGGTATTGATTGTAGGAGACGAAGATAATAACCCATACAGCAGGCCTCCATTGTCCAAAGAATTATGGTATGGTGAACAAACAGGGTCAGTACCTAATTACTTTGTTTGTGGAAATTTTATATTTTCTGCTTTATGAGAAATTCCTTTTAAAATTTAGATAAGGAAATGTGGTATGATTGCCTATGAGACAGCTACCCATAAAGACCAAAGTACTAAGATATGAACCATAACAGGTCACCATGCAGCCTTCAAACAGAGCAAAACCACCTACCATATATATAAAAAAAGGTTACAAGATTGGCACAAGGATTACATTATTCATGTTACATCTTACCACTCAATTTTAAAAATAAGTTTTATTAATTTTCTTTTATAGATAAAAGTTATTTGTTACATGTCAGTCAATAAAATTGTGTTGCTGCATTACAGCTCAACCTCCCTTTGTAACCTCTGAGACTTATATATTAAAAAATTAGATAAACAAATTGTTACCTTTCTTAAGGAGTATTAGGCCGTGTTCACATTGAGCTAAACTCGGTGTGGTGTAAGTATACTCAACACTTAAAACTAAACTCTATTACAATCTCATTGATAAAAATCAATGTTTACATGTAGTTAAATCAGGTTTTGACCACACGCAGCCAATACTCAATATAGACCTTGTGTGGGTTAAGTGTACATAAAACTAAATATCAAGAATGTGGATTTTGTTATGAATATTTAAGGAAGTTACATATATTGAATAAAAATTGATTATAATAATATTATGTCAATATGAATTGAGTTATTTATCCATTTATATGACAAAAACTCAAAAATTGCTAAATTAAATACATAATTAAAATTTACATAGCCGTAGTGGACAATTTTATTTTCAGTGAGTTGGGAATTTTTTTTGCTGATGGAATATTCTTTTTTACACCTGTTGATAGTACGGCTTATTATTTAGCGCGAAAATTATTTTCACTTTTTATACTTTTTTTTGCAAAGTCCTGCATTTCGTAGGACAAAATATTCATTTTCATAGTGTTTCACTTGGCGTCCGTCGTCCGTTGTCGTCGTCCGTAGTCGTTCGTTAACTTTTACAAACATCTTCTCCTCTGAAACTACTAGGCCAAATAAAACCAAACTTGGCCTAAATTCATTAGGGTATCTAGTTTAAAAATTATTCGATGACCCCGCCCATCAACCAAGATGGCCGTCATGGCTAAAAATAGAACATGGGGTAAAATGCAGTTTTTGGCTTATATCTCTGAAACTAAAGCATTTAGAGCAAATCTGAGACGGAGTAAAAATGTTCATTAGGTCAAGATCTATCTGCCCTGAAATTTTCAGACGCATCAGACAACCCATTGTTGGGTTGCTGCCCCTGAATTGGTAATTTTAAGGAAATTTTGCAGTTTTTGGTTATTATCTTGAATATTATAAAAGATAGAGATAAACTGTAAACAGCAAAATTGTTCAGCAAAGTAAGATCTACAAATAAGTCAACATGACCAAAATTGTCAGCTGACCCCATAAGGAGTTATTGCCCTTTAAAATCTTTCAATCCTCTGAAACTACTGCGACAAATTAAACCAAACTTGGCCTAAATCATCCTTAGTGTATCTAGTTTAAAAAATGTATCCGTTGACCCCACCCATCAACCAACATGGCCGACATGGCTAAAAATAGAACATAGGGGTAAAATGCAAGTTTTGTCTATTATTTTGTGAACCATTATAAATAGAGAAAATCTGGAAGGAGGAAAAATGTTAAAAATGATGAGCTCTACCAATTGTCCATATACGTCAAAACTGTCAGACAAATTCTTATAGGATTTATTGCCCATAAATGACAAATTTTACCTTTTTTTTCATTTTTGCCTATTATTATTAAAACTATGATATTTAGAGAGAAACATTTTTTTTCCCTTTATGCCTTATATGATTTAAATTATTATAGATAAATAGACACTTTAAATCACAAAAATGATCAGCAAGGCAACATCTATTAAAAAGTCAAATCTTGCCGATATAGTTAGTAGACTGTCACTCTTCATAGGAGTGATTGCTCTTAAATAAGGATTTGTTTTACCCTCTTTTGTGTTTTGAGCAAAAACTAAAGAAGATAGAGAGAAACTAAACAGACTAAAAGATCAGTAATACAAGATCAACAAAATAGAGATTTTTGTCATGAAGTCTATTCTCGTCTACAATGTTGGAGAGTGTCCTTTGTTAGATATGCACATAGACCAAGGTGAGCGACACAGGCTCTTTAGAGCCTCTAGTTTAACAGTTAGTAACGGTGCAGAATATTTATTTCCAAAATCACCCCAAGGGTAACTGGCGGATGGAAATATGGTCACTAAGGTCTTCTTCCGATCGACAGTAAAACCCTTTGCCAAAGTGGGGCCTCTGTTTGGCTGTGCGGGATGTACAAGTACGCAGTCACATACGGTCAGACTTTAAATCTGATGACTGGTGTAGAGTGAGTGTCATGCTCCCTGCACGTTAAGAACCCTTGCAACAATTGTTTGAAGAGTCCATAGGTGGCCTGTTGCCAGGCAGAATTGTTGACTCTATCCAATATACTCTCATTTTCTAATGGCTGTTCAAATTTCCAAGATCTTCATCCCGGACGGCCTCTATTTTAATACCTTCCTATTTTATTTATTGTGAATTTGTTCTTGTCCTGAACATGTATGAAATATTTGCAACTGGACATTAAGCAACCAACAATCAATCAATCAATAATTTCCAAAATCCTTTTTTTTCGCTTATTGTTACGCTGCTTTTGCCTGCGTAATTGTGACATCTTTAGAACGCTCAAAGTTCCCCAAATTAATAGAACGATTTTTTAAAAGGTTGATGACCATTCATCTTTATAGGATAAACCTTTTTTTTAACTTCTTTAATAAAAAAAAAAAAAACAACATTTTTTTCAATAACATACAGGAACATTTTGTAAACTCCATGTTGAAGACCCTGCCCTTAATTTTCAATGGAATCAAATGATTTTTATCACTTCCCTCCAGAAACAAATATATTAGTTTCTTTTAAAACAATAGAATTTTAACAATTTATCAACACCCTGCACCTCCCCCAGACCCCCCCCCCCCCCTTTCCAAAAAAAAAAAATTTGTTTTTGTTTTTTTAATTATGAATTGGTCTGCGCCTAACTGAAACAAAAGTTTACAGAGAAATTTTCAATTCAATTCTATGAAATGTACATGTAAATTACCTGTACATGTAGTTTACTGGTGTGAACAATTCTCATGTAGAGGTAGTCTATTAAAATCGATGTACAGATGAGAACAAATTTGATGAAACCAGTGTTCATTACAGAAACTAATTGTAAATATGTTAATAGTACACAAAGTTTGGTGTGAACATGGCCTTAGTTTTTGTCTTTTTCACTTTGGAATGAATGTGATAACTTCTGGTTTGAATTTAACAGCTATTCATTGTAGAGGGTTCATTATGAAAAATGTGTTTTTAATTGTAGAATATTTTATGACCCAAAAGATTTTTATGGTATACCAGAGGATCTTCCATCAACGAAATATGGTGGAGTAGCTGTTCTTCAAAATAGAAAGGTGATATTTCATTTTAAACAACTATAACATTTAAACTATGACATATTAAATCTTAATTCTAATGCAATTTTTTTTAGAACGATAACTTTCATTGGACCTTGCCAAATATTTTGTAGGGTTGGATTTCACGTTCTACCAGTCCGTAACTAAAGAAAGCCATCATTTTGAATTCTGAATTTTTTTGGTATGTAATTTCTCAAAAAATAAACAAAAAAGTCACATTTTGTGCTTCAAAATCTTTTTTCTGTCAATAAACAATTCAGAAGTTTACGAAAAGTATGAATACGTCTAGTGTTAATGTTTGACATTGGGAGTATATACCTCACATTATTTTGATGCCAAAGACGATGTAACAGTTCTGCAGACTCTTTCATTTATGGCATTTTTAAGCCAAAATATTTACTAAAATGGAATTTATTTTTATTATGTGGCATTATAATAGAGATAACTGTATTGTATTTTAAGCTTAGCCTTCGTGAAACTTGATTTAACTGTTGCAAATATCTGTTTACCTAGATCCTAAACTCAATTTGCGACTGTAAAATCTACATTTTTTGAAGGCCAAGCTTAAAATACAATACAATTATCTTCTTATTTTAAAGATGTATCTTATTTTTAGATTTGTTAGGGCCCTGCTGAATGGCGGACGCCCTATAGTGATCAGTCTGTCCGTCCGTCCGTAACAAATTGTGTCCGCTCTATATCTAGAGAACCGTTATGATTTCAAAGTTTATACTTGACATGTATATTAACCAACACCAGAGGGTGTGTCATAATGTATGTACAACTTCCTAGGTCAAAGGTCAAGGTCAAAAACTTTGGTTTTAGTTGACAACCCCATGTCCTATGGTAAAGATCGTGTCCGCTCTATATCTTGAGAACCGTTATGATTTCAAAGTTTATACTTGACATGTATATAAACCAACACCAGAGGGTGTGTCATAATGTATGTACAACTTCCTAGGTCAAAGGTCAAGGTTTAAAACTTTGGTTTTAGTTCACAACCCCATGTCTTATAGTAAAGATCGTGTCCACTCTATATCTTGAGAACCGTTATGATTTCAAAGTTTATATTTGACATGTATATAAACCAACACCAGAGGGTGTGTCATAATGTATGTACAACTTCCTAGGTCAAAGGTCAAGATCATAAACTTCGGTTTCAGTTGACAACCCCATGTCCAATGATAAAGATACAAATTTTGTACCACACATTATTCACAGCGGGGCCCACAGAGATGGCTCCCATCTCAATGATATCTAGTTTTTTATATCTTCACTTAAATGGTATATTTGTATTGAAAAAATATAATTTCAAACTGGTATTATACAAAAATGTATTTTTATTTTTAGGTCATCAAATTAAATACAGAAGACAGAATAGCATTCTTAGACAATGGCAGTGAAATAAAATATGACAAATGTCTCATAGCAACAGGTTAGTGTTGGTCGAATGTTATAATTCGATTTAATCCAATCTTTCATTTTGCTATAAAAGATTTGTTTGTTGCAGGTATAAGATCAGAGGGTGTCCTGTCATGTTCAGTGACTTTTTAGCCTTCAATCAAATCTTCCCTACAAAAGTTTGAGTAATTTTTAGTATGGTCTATCAAAATTTTTCTTGGTAAAATATGAAATATTTCCAAATATAGACTAGAACCCTATGTTGTGACTATTTAATTTCCAAAGATTGTTCAGATTTTATGCACAAACTGGATTGAAACATTTCTTATCTTGCCAAAACAATTAAGTTTCATTGTTTTGTTCTTTTTGTCGAGCCTTCGACTTTTGTCGAAAAAGCGAGACATAGCGATCCTACATTCCGTCGGCGTCGTCGTCGTTGTCGTCGGCGGCGTCCACAAATATTCACTCTGTGGTTAAAGTTTTTGAAATTTTAATAACTTTCTTAAACTATCCTGGATTTCTACCAAACTTGGACAGAAGCTTGTTTATGATCATAAGATTATTATTCAAAAGTAAATTTTGTAAAAAAAAAATTCCATTTTTTCCGTATTCTACTTATAAATGGACTTAGTTTTTCTGCCAGGAAACATTACATTCACTCTGTGGTTAAAGTTTTTGAAATTTTAATAACTTTCTTAAACTATCCTGGATTTCTACCAAACTTGGAAAGAAGCTTGTTTATGATCATAAGATAGTATCCAGAAGTAAATTTTGTAAAAAAAAATTCCATTTTTTCCATATTTTACTTATAAATGGACTTAGTTTTTCTGCCAGTTAACATTACATTCACTCTGTGGTTAAAGTTTTTAAAATTTTAACAACTTTCTTAAACTATCCTGGATTTGTACTACACTTGGACAGAAGCTTATTTATGATCATAAGATAGTATCTAGAAGAAAATTTTGATAAAAATATGTTCCATTTTTTCCGTATTTTACTTATAAATGGACTTAGTTTTTCTTCCAGTTAACTTTACATACAGTCTGCAGTTAAAGTTTTAAAAACATTTATTAGATTCAAAAACCATCCTGGATTTTTACCAAATTTGGACAGAAGCTACTTACAATCAAAAAGATAGTATAGAGAGGAATATTTTTATTAATTTTTTTCCTCATTTTTGTTGAGCCTGCAATTAACAGCAAAAGTAGGCGAGACACTGGGTTCCGTGGAACCCTTACGAATTTTTTTATTAAACATTTAATCATTATAACAGTGAAATTTTGATTCAGTTGTGACAATATATGTTTTGGAGGAAGAGTTGAAATCAATGAGCTACCATGTCATTTGAAATGATTGATTAATTAAAAATTACATAAAAGGTCAACAAAACATGGCCCCTTATGGGATATCTTTGGATCTTACATGCTCAACTAATAAATCTATTGTAGTAAAGTGAAATTCAGATTTAATCAGATTGTAGTGTTATAAAGGGTAGAGTTAATGTGAACCCATGAAAAATTTTAACTGAAATTTTAATTCTCTCCAATATGTGGTAAAAATGTCAATATTTTGTGTTGTATAGGTTGGTTTTGCATGGAGGTAATGCTGGATGGTGTTAATATTGATATAAGATGATGGTCTTAACACGTTAAATGACATTTTTGGCGTCTGCTGAAAAAACACAAGCTTAAAATTTGATTTAAAATTTAGATAAGAAATGTGCTAATATATGAAGTACAACTTTGCTCACTAGGTCTAAAACAGTGTCTCATTTCAGAACAAAATCATTTTACTATATACACAAAATTGGAAACAAAAATCATTATCTAGTTTCAAGTTGTTATGGATCCGCAGTGTCACTTCATAATCTAAAGGACTATGGGTAATTTCATTGTTCGTACCCCAAAAGGAAAATAATGTTGCGTTATTGGTTGAATTTCCATTGTTTGAAGGGATTTTAACCAGTCACGCTTTTGAAAATATTACCCAAAATGTATGAGATTCTGAAACAGTGAATTCTTCATGTAAATGCCTTCTGAATATATTTTATGTATTTTAGGTGGCAGACCTAAAAATCTTCCTGTGTTTGAAAATGCCAGTAAAGCAGTGCAATCAAGAGTTCATTTGTTCAGAAATGTAGGTATCCAAACATCAAGGAGTTTGCTTTGGTTATGAGTGTAAAATGTGGTCCTCAATTGTAATATAAAAATCTGTATATATTCTATGCCAAGGAAAGATAGAAAAATCAGCAACTGACACAAATTTATGTGTTCTAAGTGGTTACAATATGTATAGAACAAAGTGATTGGATACTGTAAATTTAGAAATTATTGCAATGTTTTATTAATGTGAAAAATGCGATGGTGTAAGGTTCACACTAATAAAAACTATATTATGGTGTAAGGTTCACACTAATAAAAACTTGAATTTATAAATTCAACAGTTATTTTCTCCACAAAATTTATAAAGATTGACAAATTTATAAAATGAAAAATATCCTTGCCCCTTAAATTAGTTAAAAAAGTAACAGTTATGAGTTCATTTAATCATATTTATTATATTGTTGTCTTATTTCTAGATTAATGATTTTGTACGATTACATACCATTGCACATACAAGAAAGTCAATAGCTATTATTGGTGGAGGTTTCCTGGGAAGTGAATTAGCCTGTGGTTTAGCACATAAAGGTAAGCGTTTATTGAAAGATATGTTTATGAGTTTTATTTTTTGTTTGATATGCTTCATATGATATTGGCATACCCTTTTGACTTCGAATGTTATCATGAATTGGAAGAAATGTAAATTCTCAAAAAAATGTTAATGGTCATTTTTAAAAAGGAGGTAATGAAAGCTACCATATGCATGATATGGGTCTCATGATATAATGCTCCATTTCAGACCTGCCAACTATCCCGATTTATGGGGGATATCCCCCATGAGAGGTATTGACCTGAATTTTGAAATTCTTTATTATGTAAACTGAACACCTCATAACAGGCATTCAAATGAGTTAAAATGATATTTAAGCACATACATACTCAATCAAACAATATAGTAGTAGAAACACTTATGACAATATAAGAGGAGCATTAAGTCCTCTTTTATTCCCCATGGAGATCTTGAAATGTTGGCAGGTAATGGTATGCCATTTTAGTACAAATGGGACAAGACAGGCCAGGTGGGACCAAAGACCTCATAATTGGGTTTGCTGTCTCTCTTCAAAGTATATATTCAAAATAACAAACAAAAACTTGTCCACACATATTAGAATATGTCCTGGTAGGTTTACATGTCTTCTTTCAAATTATACTTTTGTGACTAACATGACAAACTCATTAAAATTCTGACACAGCATTTGGTTCTGATAAAAAGAAGAATATTTCATATAGTATTAACACTTCAGTATTGTGAATATGTATGTATGTGATATTTTTTGCTGGATGTTAAATGCATTTACACAATACATGGCTTCACCAATATTTAGAGGCTACCATTTGTTCCCATATAATAGACAGATGCATACATCTAAAAAAAAGAAAAGTGTCGTTTTTCCATGAAAAATTGTGAAACACAACTAAAACTATGAAACTGAACATCCATTTTCATGTACAAAGAGATGATGATTAATAAGAATTATCCTGACTTTTAGTTAGGAAAACAATGTTGAATAAATGTTGATTTTGTTGCAAACACATAACACATATAAATTAAATCATTATCATGATTATATTCACGTCAGCTGGATAATAATAAAGTTGTGTTAGATCCCTATACTAAGGGGGTAATGATGGTATATCTATTTTTGTAATGAGATCTTTTTTGCTCTATATATCATTTTATTCTGGTATCACCTAAGTTGAACAAAGGTATACAGAAAAACCTATTAATTTACATTACATTGCATTGTACATTTGTTGCTCTAAATTTTTTTATTCTTGTTTTTGGTTCTACCTGATTCAGTTGCCAATCACACTAATGCTATGTTATTCTTTAAAGCATTTTGATATTTAACTTCTTAAATATTTTCAAATTGATTCAAAGAATTACAAGCATCCATTTCTGTTCAGATTATCATAGAAAAACAAAAGAGACAGTTTAAGATTATTTATATTTTATTTTTTACAGTCAACAAATTTGGCACAATAACAAGCATAACAAAATCATTAACAATAATAATCATTCAAAATAGTACAGTTAATGTTATTCAGTGTCATTTAAATATAGCACAATATTTGTTAAAATGTCAGTAAAGTATACTCATACTCCATGTTGTTGCACTGTTTTCGGTGAAAGTCCATTATAAATGTTCTGTGAATATCCTGAAAACATCACTGAAGACATTGGCGTATATCCATACACATATGACGGCACAAATCGTGGATCAAACACTTGTTGAGAAGCTGGGGATGCTGGGTATTGATGATGACTGAAGTATCCCGGCAGCTGTGTTGATTGTGTTCCGTTAACGTTATGTGGAGGTGGACAAGGTATTCCCATGGCTGCAAGTTGTGATGCTTCCACACCACCACTGGGAAAGTAGCTGGTCTTGCCATCTTTTTGTTGACGTTTCTCCTTCATGCGACGATTCTGGAACCAAGTCTTGATCTGTTGTTCGCTGAGATTTAATCTTTGAGCTATCCCTGCACGTTCTTCAATAGGTAGATACTTGCTGCTTTTGTAACGTTTCTCCAGTTCATTGACTTGGTTATTAGTAAAGGCAACTCTGGCTCTCTTTCTGGACTCTGATGTGTTGCTGTCTGAATCGTCAGTTGTGGAATTCGGTGAGATGCAGTCTCTGGATTTAGAGTCTGTTGAGTTAAGGCTGCTGTTCTCTGAGTCAAATGAACTGTTTCGCTTTCTCTTCAACTTCAAGTTACTGTTTGGTAAAGTAAGTGGTAGTGACAGTGGTGTGCTGGTCATTGGTGATATCTCAGACTTGAGCTTGACTGGTGTAAATATGCTGTCATTGAAGTTAATGACAGCTGGTTGAGTATGCTCTGACTTCTCATCTCTGCTGCTCTTTGCCAGATTCTCTATAGAAAATGACATTTTTGCTGGTTTCTGATATGAGCTGCTAAGGTCCATGATAAATTCTCAATGTGTAAATGATAGAACTTTTCTCTAAGATAGACAATTTGAGTATGAGCTGAGAGTGACACAGACAGTTTATATACTAGATCTCCTAATAACACTAATCAGTTTTCACAACTTTTCTTATCTAAACAACCCCATATTGTGTCTATTCTTTGATGCTAATTAATTCATTAATGAACAACATAAAATAAGTAATTGTTTACATCACTAATCAGGTATGAGCAACTTTCATTCAACCAAGCCATATTTATTAAACAAACACCTTTACAAGATAAACTAATTAACTCAAGGTAGATCATAGAACACCTGTACAAAACATTAATTACTCAGGTAGATTAGTAAACCTGATAATTACCTGTGTTTTATTAAGAATTAATCAAACTGTCAGATAATGAGACAAGGAGCTGTTTTGTAACATTAGTTATTATCAACACAAGCCATCACCTTCTGTGATTATTCTGACACCCAAGCTTGAACAACAATCTGTCTCAGATAATTATAAATTTTATCAGTGTTTCATAAGTTTTTGTATTAATGTTCATTTTTTGAAAGAACAGTTTTCTGTAGATTTGACACCTTTAAAATGTTTGAATTTCTATAATGAAATTTAGAATGATTTGCTAAAAAGTTTTAAGTATGTCATTGGAAATGATTGATTTTCCATTAATTATTAGAATATTTTATATCTTCAGAAAAAAAATCAACTTATTTGGTATTTATATTGTTACTATTATTTATTTTCAAGTTTTTTTTTTAAAGACTTAAAATTGACTTTTTTTAATTGATAAAATAAATTACCCTTCCAGTGCAGCTCATAAATCAACTTTATACCGATTATTTAATTATTAAAGGGATGTTTAAAGAAATTTTGCAGCAATAAAACACAGGGTTTTAATGGAATAAAAATATAACAATCAAATGTTTATATTTAGATTGAATGAAAGAGGTAACATATAGGTAATCAAATATCCAGAATGAAGTAAAACTTTACTCTGAATTTAAAAAAGATGTATGCTCATTTTGATATACTTAAATTTTTAAGAATATTTTTTACAATGTATTTCTTTATTAAACGAGTGTAGTAAGCAGTTTGTAAATTGAAAGATTTTTGGATTATCAAATTATTTTCTATGCTGGAGATGTAACTTAAAATCCATTCTTGAAAAAGGATGACAAGCTTTAAATGAGTAAAAGGAGCTGTGGGGTAAACATCATTGAGACAGCAACCCAACGACACATATAACCAGAAGTACTTGTTTATTTGTGGTCTTTGCATTTCTTTGTGTAAAGAGCTGTGAAGGAAAGCAATTAATAAACCTTTCCTCCTTTTCCTGTTTTTTTTCTGACTTTAAGAAACATTCATTAATGTTAGAATAACTGCAATATCAAACAAAAAACTGTAACAAGAAAATTTGGCTAAAGAAGTTAAATTGGATTGTAGCCTGCTACATGTTTGTCTCCTCATATGAACACATAAATCTATGCTTCTGTCACATGAGTAAAAAGAACAAATATTGTGCCAATATTTTTCTTGAGAGAAATCTGATTGTCTTTTTAGATTTATTTAAACATTTAGGCATATATGTTAATTCAACAATTTCTCTTTTTTTTCACTTAATTTTCATCAAAACTATTGTTTTAACTTTTCTACCATTTAATATCATTATAAATCATTATCGAATATGTGATAAAAATTGTAATAAATTAATAGTGAATATTTTCATCTTTTTTTTATTTGTGTGTTTATTTAATTAAACAATTCTTATATATAATTGCAATCAGAATTTATGATCCTTGATATATGTGTGAATTTAACAAGATTTTGAAAAGTAATATGAAATGAAATAAATATCTTGTGTTTTCTTTAAATGTCATTAACACTTAGACAAGTATCACCCAAGGCTGAAATGATAAACTGCAAAGATTTCAATTTTTGGTAGAATTTTGTTTTTTTTGTGCCAGAATTTAGTTTTTCTTGTGTCAGGATTTGTTTATTTTGATAAATTAAAGAAGTAGGCCTGGTAAGACTCCTTTTTTGGCCCTAAAATATAGCATTTCTGTTTTAGCTTTTTATTGGAAAGAAGAATACTTTTGTTACATAAATATGGGTTGTCTTTGACATTACACTGCAAATGCATTAGGTACTAGCATAGTTAATTCATGCAAAATTACTAAAATCTTCACAATCTTAAAAAATCTGATTGTCTTTTTAGATTTATTTAACCAGATTTATATTTTTCAGCAAATTTTGTAAATGTTTATTTCCCCCCACTTAATTGTAATAAAAAATATAACATTTCTACCATTTAATATCTAAGTTTAATATCATTATAAATTATTGTTGAATATGTGATAAGAATTGTAATAAATTAATTGTGAATATTTTTATATTTTTTTTATTTGTGTGTTAATTTAATTAGAATATGCTAATATATAATTGCAATCAGAATTTATGATTCTAGATATATGTGTGAATTTAACAAGTTTTTAAAGAGTAATATGAAATGTAATAAAAGATTTGTGTTTTCTTTAAATGACATTAGCACTTAGACAAGTATCACCCAAAGCTGAAATGTTAAACTGCATCAGTTTCATTTTTGGCAGAATGTTGTTTTGTTCTGCAAGACTATGCTTGTTTTAATAAATTTAAATTTGGAAGTAAACAGTTTTTTGTTTTTTTCACATTGGAGAATAATAAACCTTGATATGAAATAATTATTTACTGTGGAGTCATTTATTTTCATGGGTGCCAATTTCTGTGGATTGAGAAAAAAATGTATTTTCATGGATATTTGATTTCGTGGTTTTGAGAAAGTTTATATACAAGCCTATAGAAAAGTCATACTTCAATGAACATTTGAATTTGTGGTTTCCCTGTACCCACGAAATCAACATAAATTGGTACTCCATGAATAAAAATTAATCCACAATAATTGTCTTTTATATCAAGATTTTGTTTACCATAGAGGTGAATATTTTTATCTATATTTCAAACTTCTATAACATAATTTAATTTTTATAAAAAAGTTCTTTTTTTTCTAATATAGAGTTCACAAACATAAAATGATTTAAAGTTATCATCAATCTCAGAGATCTGCATCATTCTGGTCTTCACAATCCACAAGAAGTCATCTTTTTGTTTATATGTAGTAATTTCATTTTAGAAAATGTGCTTTACATTAATAGTGAATAGGCATTTTATTGAGACAATTAGGTTCATCAATCAACTTTGTACAGCATGTATAGTTTGAAGATGATCTTGACATGCTACTTTTAAAGTTTCCCATTACAAATTTTTCAAGTAAATAAAAAATAATGAAACAATTTAAGAATATTTTTTAAAACTTTTTGATTAAGTATATATTTTTAGGATTTTATTTCTACATTTCTGACATATATATATATATGTCTGTTAAAACCATATGTGGTAGTTTTAGTAAGTGTTGATGTCATTAAAGAAATCACAGCTTATTTATTAATTTCCAAATTAAGTCTTCAAAAACTTGATAAGTTCACACTTATATTAAGAGTCATAATTTTATATTGCAATTAAATATATTAGAATTGAGTGTTGGTGTCTTTTAGTGAAACTGTGCTAATTTTGATATCTTCTAATTAAATTAACACACAAATTTCAATATAGATATATAATGTGTTTAAGTACACATATAATCATGCATTAAAACAATGATTTATAATGATATTAAACTAAACGTAAAGAAATTCATTTTAATGCACTTTTTTTCTGAAAATCACAGAAATGAAATTAAAAAAATAAGAAAACAGTTTGATTCTAGAGAAATATGAAAAGGATCTTTAATTTTGCCTGTTACATATATTATATAAATCCTCTTTTTAAAGCAGAAAATTTAAATAGTTTACTCTTTACCTAAAATCTGTCTCATATTTGTTAGATATATAGTTTATTCTTTAAAAACCATAATATAAAGGCACAGAGAAACATACAATAATGTAAACCATATGTGTTTTGAAAATAAATAGACATGAGTACAGTACATTTTTTAAAGATACATGTATAGAATATCGAAAAATATAGAAAAAACATTTTATATTCTTAGAATTGATGTGCATGCGAAAGAGCAATGTAATAAACAACTGTCTTCTATAGATGACCCTATAAAATTTTCACGGTCTTTTTAATTAAGATTATCTCTTTGATGTGAAAAGATGTGTAAATTTTTTTATATAAGGCGGAAGGGATAATTGCAAAGTGAGGAAAAGATTTTTTTATTAACAATTGCAGGGTATTTCATTGTATAATGGTATTTATCACCTAAAGCTGACTTATCGCAGAGATTACAATTTCTTTCTGATCTTTCAATATGATGCCATAAGTCTTGTTCTATAAGTAATTTATTGTTTATGGTTCTGAATTTGCAAAACATGAATATATTATCATGAAGTAAATTAAAGTCAGCTTCCTAACTTAGATTATCTTTAAAAAAACTTATAGCTTGAATAATTTGGAGAGTTTTGAATTTCAGTGAACCATGTTCACATTATAACAAAACTCTAGTATTTTAACAAAGACAGAGCATTAAAATAAAACCAAGCAAGCAAACAAAATAGAGAACAGCAATCCCCTCCTCCAAAAAAAGAAAGATTTTATATTGCATATTTATGGTTAAATGATGAATAAAATATTTTGCTTAAAGATTAAAGGAGCTTGCAACATTATTTACTAGACACATCGTCATAACGTTTCTTGTTAATTTAGTCCCCATTAAATGAATTTAAAAACCATGGGTGGGCTTGAAAAGTAAATAGGTTTTTTTTCTTTCAGGTCACAATAGAGGACTTACAAATTTAAAAGTGTACCAGATATTTCCTGAGAAAGGTATGTATATTCAAGAAAACTCTCCTAGTTTGAAGGAATTTAATAATGACACATAAATTACTGAAAAAGATGAACTACGGAAAATAGTTGTGATCTTTTAATGTTTTTCTTTGTTTGAAATTTCATTTACTAGATGAGATTATAAAGTTAACATGGGGCAGCAGTAGAGTGAAAGATATTTACAGATGTTTACTTACAGTATACTTTATTGGTAAAGTAAAATCAGGCTGATAGTTTTTTTTAACCCCGCTTTAAAAAAGTGGGGGTACTGTTTTACCTCTGTCTTTCCGTGTGTCCCATGAATTTTTTTCATCGCATCTTTCTCAGGAACTACATCATAAGACCAACATTAAAAATATCTTTGTTTCCACTTCCCGACTGAGGTTTTCAGGGTATGGGTAGGTAGGTAGGCAAATTATTTTATTTTATTCATTGATATGGTTTTCTATATTGAATTTGTACAAATTTCTAAGTAGATAGATTTTAAAGCATGATTCAGACCATTTTTACTCAAAGATTTTATCCTTTATACAGGAACAGAGGTTAAAGACCAAGCAAATCAAGGTGCACTCAGTGGGTTGAAAGATGCTTCAGTTTTTTTTTTATTAAAGATACCACATCATTGAATTGTTTTGCTGCAGATTAATTGGATTGTATTGTTCAGTTTCAGAGAATTTTGATCTAATGCCAAGGCATATTTTCTATTACAGATTTATATATATATATATCATTCAATATTTTCTAAACCATGTTTTTTCTTAATTCTAAAGAAAGTTTTAAATGAAAACAAAATTTTTATGACGATAATACATTTTTCTGTAGTTTTAATTTGCAAAAACGTTCAGTTTTGAAAGAATTATTTTTACGGACTTTTTACGCTGCTATTCTCCACTGTTGACAGCTTTGCCGAAAAGTTGCCATTCGTCAGGGAAAAATCAATAGGACCATCAACCTCAGCATCTCCGATTGCTTCGTCCATGATTTCACTGATCATTAATTTGGGGCTTATCTTCAAAATTTTCTTACTAACGATATTCTTTACAAAAATTATGGTCATTGATCACCCTTGCAGATACATAAATCGTGTGACTAGCCATTTTGTTTGTTTTTCTCGATTCCAAATCATTTAGACGCTTCAATGCAAAAATGCCTAAAATTAAAACGCTCGTGGACTACAGCATCGGAAAGGTATCACCAAAAACCAAAATAGCAAAAAAAAATAAAAATTTGGACACGAACGGCCAATAAAATTTTTCGGGTCGCAGTGATTTTACTGGGTTGGTTGTGGGAGAGGAAACAAACAATTTTTTTTTTTGGCCAAGGATTTCTGAAATTTGGTTTCAGGGTTTATATAAGTCAGCTATACCGTGTGATGTGTTTTCAGATTCATCACTCAACAACTTCTTGTTTACAGAACACTTACATATTTTTACACTATTAAAATTATCCATATTTGAACGGGGTATCATCAGTGAGCAGTAGCTTGCAGTTTCACTTGTTTTGTTTGAATTGTTGCACATTTTGTCATGTCTGGGCCTTTATATACGACTTTTCAGTAGGGTTTTGCTCATTGTTGAAGGCTTAGGTGACTTTATTTTTGCTTACTTCCACATCATTTGGACTCTGATGGATGGTTGTCTCATTGGCAATTAAACCAAATCTCCTTATCAGCTCACCTGGCCAAAAGGCCAAGTGAGCTTTTCTCATCACTTGGTGTCCATCACTATCTCATCGTTGTTGTCGTCCATTTACTTTTACAAAAATCTTCTCCTCTGAAACTACTGGGCCAAATTTAACCAAACTTGGCCATAATCACCATTGGGGTATCTAGTTTTAAAAAAAAGGTGTCTGATGACCCCGCCTGCCAACAAAGATGGCAAACATGGCTAAAAATAGAACATAGGGGTTAAATGCAAGTTTTGTCTGTGAATAGAGAAATTCTGACAAGAGCAAAAATGTTTAGAATTTTGTGCTCTAACAGTTGTCCATTCAAGTCAAAACTGTCAGACACTTCTTACAGGAGTTATTGGCCTTAAATGACAAATTTTATCATTTTTAAAATTTGTTCCCTATTATGTAGAGAATTATAGATAGAGAAAGAGAGAAACTTTAAATAGCAAAAATGATCAGCAAGACAAGATCTACAAATAAGTCAACATGACCAAAATCATCAGACGACTCCTTATAGTTATTGCCCTTTAAGGGCATACGATACAGTTACAGGGGAGGTAATGACGTTGCTAATGTAAATTGTTATTTTCGCGACGTCAAACTGTGACTTATCGGGAAAAGATGCAGTTTTCGACTGATTTTTATCATTCAATCTGATTTAACTTGAAAACGAGTTCATGGACCCCTCTTTTTTAAAATGACATTTGGTTTGATTACGTATGAAGATTATGTTTACCAATTTTCATGAAAAAGTCAATACTGCATTTTTTTTAAATTTGATAAATATACAGCAAAAAATGACGTTTTTTTCTACAATCATGATCATTTGATTAATATGAGTTATTTGTAAAAATGAAATGTACAAATTTATAGAACATTTATATAAAACAGAAATTACAAAAAATTTAACAAAAAACAGCTTGTGTTTATCTTTTACAACAAAAAAGTTATGTATTTCTATCGAAAAGAAAAGAACGTCTACAAATCCTTATTTTGAGGAAATATCTGAAATTTCAACCTCAATTTACTCAAAAAGTAGCACATGATGGTAAATTTTTTATTACATATTTGATTTAATCAGGTAAAAAATAGCCTATATGCAAATTTTCATCAAAATTTCATTATGGGATCAAAACTGTATCGTATGCCCTTAATGACAATTTTTACCAATTTTTTGTGTTTTTGGTCTATATCTTAAAAACTATAATAGATAGATAGAAATTTTAAAAAGCAAAAATGATCACCAAGACAAGATCTACAAATAAGCCTTTTTTTGTTCGAAATCTTCAGTCGACTCCTTAATGGAGTTTTTTTGCATTTTTTTGCATTTTTGCCCATTATCTTGAAAACTATAATAGATCGATAGAAACTTTAGAAAAGGAATAATTATCAGCAGGATACGATATACAAATATGTCAACATAACTGAGATTGTCAGCTAACCCTTAATAGAGTTATTCCCCTTTAATGATGATTAGTGCCACTGTTGAAGAAGAAGGTGATCGACACAGGCTCTTTAGAGCCTCCGGTCTTTATATTGTTTAGTTTTTTGCCTTGCCTGAGACAAAAGTCCTTCAGACTTTTATTCTGTGTGTGACCAGGTTTACACATTAATTTACTCTAGAAAAAATGTGTTTAATCCTATTATGAATAATTCATTTTTTATTTGAAAGTTAAAAAATTCAAGTATTCAGAAGTGAACTTATTTTCATGCACAATGAACAATACTCCAAGCAATTAAAAAAAAATTCATTTAATTTTTTTATATGTTTGAACTTTTAGTGTTTTAAAGAAGAAATCATGCATATCAGAAAAAAAACCCATTTAAAAAAAAAAAGATATAATTACAAACGAAAGTGAACCAACGCCTGGTGAATTTGTAGTATGGTAGAGTCCCTGAAGTGGATACCTCGGGAATGCAGGGTCCTTATGATAGAAAATGTAGAAAGTCTTTCTAAAAGATATAATTGTAACCAAAATTTGTTTTAGGTGTAATGAGCCAAGTATTACCAGATTATCTGAGCAAATATACAACAGAGAAAATCAAAGAAGGTAACTGTTATTTTATATATAGCCCTTTCCTGAAACTCATTTAGATTCTTCAGTTGTGTTTGAATTACAATGTTTCTTTCATCAAGATAGTTAATTTGAGACTCAGTTTGCAAGGTTTAGACAGGATTTTAAAAGTTTGCTATTTAACTACAAAAAATATCGAGTATGGTGAAATATTGTTATCCATGAGCAAACAGAGGTAGAATTTGTTTCTCTCAATTTATTTTTTTTCAGTTTTGCTTTTGTAAACCCCTTTAATTGAAAAGTACATTTGTAAAACAATTAAAAGTCAAATTTCAATAAGGTGATATCATTATATAAATAACACATATCTGAGAGGGTGATAGAGCAGATTGTTTCCCAAAAAACATTGTCAACTGAGGCGAAGCCAAGTTTGACGATGCTTTTTCGGGGGGTAACAATCTGCTCTAACACCCTCTCAGATATGTGTTATTTTATTTATTATACAAAACTTTCTGTCATTACTGTCTTTTCAAATTGTAAATTGAAAGTAACTAACTATGATGTCATGTGCATAACAATGTTACAGTTATTTCAAAAACAACAAAAGTCAAGCATGATGCATTTATTTTATTTTGACTGTCTATGAAAAAAGTCTGAGGTGGAAACCTAGATTTTGAGCATTGTCTTTTAAATTATAGATGCAAATTGAATTCACTGTCCTATAAATTAATGATTTTTGATTGGTCTGCCCGATAGGGTGACATTAAAAAAATTGTTCCCCGCTGAACCATGGGATAGAGTAAATTGTCTCCCTCATATTAACCAATCAAAATCTGACATTTCAGCGTGATGTATGATAAAACACATTAACTACAAATAGAAGCACCAGAAATAACATTTGTTTTATGAAACATTTTATTTAATCACAATTAACTCTCATATAAAAGTGTCCACCAATGGGAGAAAACAATTTATTACCTAGAACTAGTAAACAATTTTAATAAAGCTATTTGTATGGTTCTCTATGTTAAAATAGAGGTGTTATATACCAAGGGGGAAATCAAAATTGACTAGTCACAGAAAAATAACATCCTATAAAAAAAGAAAAAAAAAACAAGAAAAAGAAAAAGACAACTAACAGTCTACAAGACACTATATTGAAAGCTAAAGACTGAGCAACACGAACTCCACCAATCTCAATTCAAAATATTATGGAAGAAGGTCAAGGTTGTCATACCTGTTTACTTGTTGGCTTACATGAACATTGAGATTTGTTAGTGAAATGTAATTAATTAATTTTACAGAGGGTGTGGATGTTGTATCTGAGAAATCTGTGAAGGAAGCCAAATACAAAGATAAACAAGTGGTTTTAACACTCAGTGATGGCAGTCAAGTAAGTCTACTATAACTGTCTTATTGATATATATATACTCAAGATCTTCATCTATTCATACCAAAAATTAAGACAATAACAGAATATTTAGAGTAAAAAGATTATGGAGAATTTAGGAGGTCTCATAAAGTCTTGTTATTAAGATTGTGCAAATAGCAGAAAATCAATCCAACAGGAAAAGATCAAAACTAAAAACTTAAATGTCCATTCCTGAATTAGAAATACCAGTATTATGAAAGGCAATCAACTCTGAAACTGTTTTCAATACCTGTTGTAGCTTGCTGGATGCATAGTAACCTGTGTTGAATTCACATACAAGTATTTTCAATTTATCATGTATATAATTTCTGAGTACAGACCTAATCCAAAAATGAAAAGCAGATCTCTGTAGCAATAAAATGAGGTCAATGTCATATTTCATACATTAATAAGACATGTCTTCTTGGAACAAATTTGCACTTGATGTATTGTAGCTTCAATTGTAATAACCTATCATGTATAGTTACTTAGGGACAGACCTAATTCTCAAGACCTTAAAACTGACAGCTTGAGCATGAACATGAGGACAAGGTCATGTGAGAAATATCATTAAGATGTATATTCCTCATTCCTGCATGTTAACATACCAAATATTTAAACTAATTTTGTATGGTGATTGAGAAGAAGACCCCCATCCTGAACATTTACCATGTTCCAAATATAGAGGAAATGTATGCATCTTGTTATTGAGGAACAGACAATCATCCTGCTGAGCACTTAAGGTTAAAGATGAGGTCAAGGTCAAGTGAATGCAAGCTCTGAAATTTTATTGAAAGGTCACTGGCAAAAAAATGAAAGTAGACAAATACCTAAAAAATATACATATATATATTTATATATATATATATATACAGAATATTCTGTAATTCATGTAGACCTCAAGCCATGAGATGAAATTGAAGAAAGATAGGCTGATTAGTGTGATGTTCACATTATATTTTATATGTTACAATTGATTTATTTAACAGATAAAAGTTGATGATGTGGTAGTCACAGTAGGTTTACAACCTAATGATGACATAGCTAAAACTTCTGAATTAGATATAGATCCTATGAGAGGAGGTGTGATGGCTAATGCTGAGTTAGAGGCAAAACCCAACATATGGGCGGTAAGTATAAACTTCTGAATTAGATATAGACCCTATGAGAGGAGGTGTGATGGCTAATGCTGAGTTAGAGGCAAAACCCAACATATGGGTGGTAAGTGAAATGGCAAATATATATGAAAATTCTATTAACGCTCAGTTTTAAGTGGTCAAAACTAATTTTAAGGTGATAGCTAATATTATTTATATTAGATGTCAAATGATGTTGAATTAAAAAAGGCATTCAACAAAAGTAATGTTTACATGTCTATAATAAGAGGTGGATTACTTCTAAGTTTAAAAATGGATACATCCAAGGTATGGGTGAAGGTATAACCTTATATTTGTAATCAGATCATTTGTGATGTTTTTTAAAGTCTTGATATTTATAAAGGCCCACAGATTTTGATAGAAATCAAATTGCAAGAGGTACACAAATTTCATTTGATAATGCACACATTTTTAGTTTGAAGAAATTTCGCACTTCATACATGATGTGCTTGAGTCAAGGCATTTTAAACTTCTAAAAAATTACAAAAAGTAGCATTGAATTCTTAAGTTACTTAATATGTATGTACAGTAAGTCATTAACCACTTTATCGAGGATGTTTTATTTAAGTTGAATAAAGTAATGAAAACCAATGAAAATTCAATCTGTGAATGAAGATCTATAAAGTATTGATACACCATATCCTTTCTATTCCATTATGTAGATTTTATTCTTTGGTAACTTACGGTTAAATTTGAGCAAGTGGTGAAATTTATAAACACGCAGGTAGATCTGTTATTAGATATTCAAAATTTCAAAGGTATTATCTAAGGATGGTGAAAAAGTTCATGGTTTATATTTATAGGCAGGTGATGTGGCTAGTTTCTATGACTACAAATATGGGCGATGTCGAGTGGAACATCACAATACTGCTGATTCAATGGGTAAACTGGCTGGTCAAAATATGGCCGGAGCAAGGAAACTTTATGAGCATAAACCATATTTCTGGTAATTAGCTTACATTTAAGTGATTTAAAACATATTTGTCATCAGTATAACCAAATAGTATTAATTTCATTAACTAAAGAATCAATCCAAGAAATCACTTTTTGGTTCTGATAAAATTTGCCAGCCCTTTACTTTAAATCTTTATTTACTGTCCAGTATTTAAATTGGTATGGAAGGCCCTTTTTTGCCAAGAAAGTTTGATCCTCATTGATGATCTTGCTCAGTTCATAAGCTCAAAAGAACAAGATTTGCCAAACTGACAGTCAGTTTCACAGTTTCGATATCTATTTAATTGGCTACTTATGTAATAACATAATTGAAAGCTTATTAAAAAGATCAAGAGCTATTTTAAAACCAAAAATGACAAAAAAGTAAGCCAAAGCAGGACAAGGAATCAGAGCTTTGCATGAGGGAGATACATTCCTTAATTTGAAATAATTTCCAAAATTTTGCAACAGCAAATTTTAATAACACAAAATCTGTAAGTAAGTGCTTTTCTTTAGATTCTCTTTTTTTGTCAACCATTGAAACCAAATCACATAGAAAAACATTTATTTGCAGGCAATTTTAGTTGAATTTTTAGTGTTATGTGATGTTATTCAAGTTTCAGAATATGTTCACAATTGGCTGTTTATAAATGTTTCTTAAATTTTATACTCTTCATATGCTGTAGCCTATAAAGCCAAAGTATGATTAATCTTAAAATAGAAATAAGTGCTCAAACAATTAGATTCAGAACAAATGTATTTGTGGGACTTGCATTTAGGTTAAAACATTAAACCATCATGAATGGGTCTTAGAATGCATCTGCACCTTTATTAAGGGTTTAATATTGATGTATAATTTAAGGTCAGATCTTGGAGCAGAAAGTTACCAGGCTATAGGAGAAGTGGCTTCAAGCCTTGAAACATTCAGTATATTTACACCTTTGAAAGACAAGACATTAAAAGAACATTCCTCACAACAAGATGGCATCAAAAACTCCAATAACTCATCTCAGGTATATGATAATGATATGCTCTATTTTTGTGAACAAAGCTAAGTGGAAGATTATGGTGAAGTGGGGTATCTGATTAGAGCTATTTTCCTAATGCTTGTAGTTTAAAGGTTTGGTTGGCTTGCTTGCTTGCTTTGTTTGTATAAATGTTTGCTCAAGCATTGTAATTAAGATTGACATCTGCAATAAATAGATAGGCGGGGATGATAAGTATAATGTATACAAGCTGAAGCCCCACCTATCTATTGATTGCAGATGCCAATCTTAATTACAATGCTTGAGCAAACACTTATACAAACAAAGCAAGCAAACCAACCAAACCTTTAAACTACAAGCATTAGGAAAATAGCTCTAATACATTAGATTTAGAAGTAAATCTGAAAATACTGAAAATTTCCTGTGTCCCCTTGAAAGCTTTATTGTTCAAAAATTTTGCATGACAATTTAGATTCATGAAAATTTTGCTTCATTTGAATTTTATTGATTATTCATTTCACAAGAGAAAATGTTACAATTTATGGTTTATTTTTGTTTCTATTAGAAGAAGCAGAATTATATAAATAAATGAATATGTTCGTAAAAATCCATGAGGACAGCAATCTACAACACGATTTTACATCATACTGTCTCTTTTCCTGTTCAGTTACCTATATAACAACAGAAACCATTGACCTTTTAATCAGTTTTCTTACAAATGGTCAATTTCCTGCTTCAGAATCTAAAAGGAATATGAGTATTTTCATCATGTACATTAAAATGAAAAGAAGATCATATCCATTTTGTTAGCCAATCAAAAGGTTATGATGTGCTCTTTTGACAATATTATCCAGGATGGTCTAGTTTTGGAAAGGGTGAATTCTGTTCAGACATTTACAAAACTATTGAAAAAACTACTGTGGATTCATTATTGTCCGTGGGATAGCGATTTCCATGGGAACCACAAATTTAAATTTTCAACAAATTATAAATGTTTTATAGGCTTGTATGCAGACTTCAGCAAAACCACGAAATAAAAAAATCCACGAAAATACAAATTTCCCTCAATCCACGGAATTAATGAATCCACAGTAATAGTTGTTGAGAGCAAAACTAATAGGTAATTCTGTGGAAATTTGCCTAAATTAAGTTTTTTATATAAAAAAAAAATTTGTATCAAAAGCTGAATTTGTAATAATGAAAGACTCAAAATGAAATTAATTTCTGGCCAAAAATTTGTTAACAATTGGTCTTTGCTGAATTAATGTTGGTGTTATAAGAGTAAATTATTAGCACTGACAAGTTTGTAAGTTTAAGAAATTACAAGACTTCAAATAATTGCACTTAACTTTTAAAAACATGAAAGTTACTACAGGTTTCATTTACATTCACAAAACCCTAACTGACAGTCGTTTCAATCATTTTGAAGTTTTTTACGCTTTGACATTCAATTTTCGTAGTCTATTTGCCAATTCCGTAATTATTGACCATGTAATTAGAGATAAATATTTTGAATTCCTTCCCTTAGAACTGACATAAAGTTTCATTGTCCACCAAGAGCCAGCGAAAATACCAAAATCTGTGCATCTTTAATTTTTTCATATATTTTCATCCCATTTAATCTTTTGTTATTAAGCTTAAACTTCTGATATCAATAGTTATCTTTTATTAAAAATTGGTTAAAATGCCTTTATATCACTTTCAATTTATCTTTGCATGAGCAGCAGCCCATTTTGTCTGGTATGGAACCAGTCTACAATTGGCATAGGAAACAACCTTTGTTAAAAGTGTGTAATAAAGTACACAGTAATTATCAAATAGACTTAATATTTTTTAATTTTCTTTTTTCTTATAGACTGCAAACCCTCCAGCATTAAAATCAACAGAAGATTACCAGGGTGTTGTGTTTTATTACAAAGATAAACAGATTGTTGGTATTGTTCTGTGGAATGTATTTGGTAGAGGAAAAGTATCTACCTGTAGACAAGTAAGTTGATAGAATACTGATCTTATTTCTCTATAGCTATTTGTCCTATTTTTGTGGTTGAAAATCCTGTGTCATAAAAAATAGTTTGACATCCATGGCATGATGTTTTATATACTGGTGAAATCATAAAATATACTGGTGAAATCATAAAATATATTTGGAGGATAGGAAAGGAAGTTTTATTTTTGGACATGGTTAGTTGATCTTTTGTGGTTGTATATGAAATAAGGAAATGTGGTATGATTGCATATGAGACAACTTTCCACCAGATACCAAATAACCTAGATTTTAGCAACTAACATGTCCATCTTATGTATGGAAAATTACTCAAAAGAAAGAAGTAACATATGTTGGTTGTTAGGGAATTTTAATCCCCCTTCCTAACCTCCCACATCCATTTATTGGAATAACCTAAGGCTAATAAATCATTGAGCAATGGAATAGATTACAAAGCACATAGAAACCATACAAGTCCATACTGGGCATGCTTCCAAATTAGCATGAAAGGGTTTATTAAAATACTGGTAGTAGGGATAGCCAGTTAAAATAGAAATTATTTAACACAAAACTACTTTTGACAAACAATATTTTCTTTCCATTGGTTAACCATTACTGGATATCAGATGTTCTAGTAAATTTTGAAATCACAAGACAAAATGTCTGATACCAAAAGGCAAAAGTTATTGTTGTACAACATTAGTAGGTCTAGTGTCACATAATCTTTAGCCAGTTGAGCAAAATTACAAATAGCAATGAGGTCTTTAACAATGTTAGAATCATTTATTACCAAGTCAAACAGTATGATATATTTTCATTTTTGTTTCAGATATTAGAGAAAAGCAAAGAAATACGTTCAGAAGATCCATATGAACTTTCCAAATTATTGTTCCGCTCATATAAACCATCTAAGCCAAAAATAGACAATAAACAAGAAACATCTGAAGAAAAGTCATAACATAGGATCATAGAATAGTAATAAAAGAACAAAATGTTAAATCATGTGATAGAGAAGAATGACTATTAAACTTATTTTTGTAATTTAAAATTTATTCCTTGACAAGAATAATTTTTTTACCAAGAAAAAATTGTAAGGAGTTGGGGAAATAAGTGTACATTTAAAAGTCACCATATATGATCCAAAATTTGCCCTCATAATACTTAGGTAAAAGGTGTTTAGAAAATAAAAATAAAGTTAACATTTGACTAGTTACCTTGGCAACAAATCATGACGAAATTTGTATATGTTGTACAATTTCCTGATTTTTCTTGTTTTGCATCAGTTTATACGTACATTTTGGATTGGAAAATAATGTGCACACTGAAGAAACAACTTTATAATTGGTGAGATTATGTAAATAGTGACAATAAAGCTACTGTAAAATTATTTTGTTGGTTCTTGGGTGTGTACAATTTTGAAAAGTTCTCAAGAATTTCGTTTTGTTAGGCCAAATACAGGTCTTAATGCCTCTACTCCAAAGGCAAAATCCTGGTACAGAAGGTCAGGATGAGTTATTACCATATATTCCTGTCATTTGTTCTCTATCCAATATAACTGACTCAGTTCTGTCCTTGATTGTGTGAGGTCGTGGGATGACAGATTCCTGGCTAGAATAAACCACACTTTAAAATTGGTATTGGCTGCTTACCAAGAAAGCAACATTTAGTATTATGAGCACACTGGTTGGTTCAGAGTCAAAATAATATTTCTTCCTGTGGACTGTAACTTCAGGAGATAGTATGGTGAAAATCAGAATTTGGAAATTGGATCATAATAGGTAAATGCCAAATTCAAATTTTTAAGTTCTTAGACCACATTCATTTTGTGTCACAAACCTATGATGTGTCAAATATTCAATCACAAATTAATTTCAGACTTCAGAGCTGTATCAAGCTTAAATGTTGTGTCCATACTTGCTGGGTTCTACCTCTGAGGTCGTATCAAGCTGTACCCTGCAGAGCATTTTATTGTTTGGTACAAACACAGTATATGTTTGTATCTCATTTGAACATTATGATCTTGAATTTTATGTAATATTAACTGGGTGTAAAGGACCCATCAATCAATTCATCTGTCTAGTTGTCGAGCCTGCGACTTTTGTCGCAGAAAGCTCGACATAGGGATAGCGATCCGGCGGCGGCGGCGTTAGCTAACTTCTTAAAAGCTTTATATTTTAGAAGGTGGAAGGTCTGGATGCTTCATACTTTGTATATGGATGCCTCATGTTATGAAGTTTCCGTCAGTCACATGTCCAATGTCCTTGACCTCATTTTCATGGTTCAGTGACTACTTGAAAAAAAAGTTAAGATTTTTTGTAATGTTAGATTCTCTCTTATTATAAGTAATAAGATAACTATATTTGGTATGTGCGTACCTTGCAAGGTCCTCATGCCCGTCAGACAGTTTTCACTTGACCTCGACCTCATTTCATGGATCAGTGAACAAGGTTAAGTTTTGGTGGTCAAGTCCATATCTCAGATACTATAAGCAATAGGTCTAGTATATTCGGTGTATGGAAGGACTGTAAGGTGTACATGTCCAACTGGCAGGTGTCATCTGACCTTGGCCTCATTTTCATGGTTCAGTGGTTATAGTTAAGTTTTTGTGTTTTGGTCTGTATTTCTTATACTGTATGCCATAGGTCTACTATATTTGGTGTATGGAATGATTGTAAGGTGTACATGTCTAGCGGGCAGGTGTCATCTGACCTTGACCTTATTTTCATGGTTCAGTGGTCAAAGTTAAGTTTTTGAGTTTTGGTTTTTTTTTCTAATACTATGTGCAATAGTTCAACTATATTTGGTATGTGCGTACCTTGCAAGGTCCTCATGCCCGTCAGACAGTTTTCACTTGACCTCGACCTCATTTCATGGATCAATGAACAAGGTTAAGTTTTGGTGGTCAAGTCCATATCTCAGATACTATAAGCAATAGGTCTAGTATATTTGGTGTATGGAAGGACTGTAAGGTGTACATGTCCAACTGGCAGGTGTCATCTGACCTTGACCTCATTTTCATGGTTCAGTGGTTATAGTTAAGTTTTTGTGTTTTGGTCTGTTTTTCTTATACTATATGCAATAGTTCAACTATATTTGGTGTATGGAAATATTTTATGATCTATTTGGCAGTCACGCAGGTTTTATTTGACCTTGACCTCATTTTCAAGGTTCATTGGTCAATGTTTAGTTTACTTGGTTAATGTTAAGTTTATGTGACAGTTGTAATAAAGCTTTATATTTAGGACTATCAACATAATATCAATGATTAGTAAAGAAGGTGAGACATTTCAGCGTGTGCACTCTTGTATATTTGATATTGTATACATCCGTCAGCCATTAAGGAATAAAGTCATGAACCGTCTGGTACAATTAACATAACTGTCAGTCGTGAAAGCATCAACCATCATGTGTTAACCATTTCTCTTTCTAATATCCAGTTCTTCTTTCATCATTTTATTGAGCATTTTAGGAATATCAAGTGTTGAATCATAGATTGGTCAGGTGGGGCATTGCAAATTAAGAAACTTTTGGAGGATTTAATTTTTGCAAAAATTGTTACAGGATCAGTTTGCCAAAATAAAAACTCGCATTTTAAATTTTGTTAGAATTTTTTGTTTGCAGCATTTCCTGAAATAGTTAGGTAATAATAATTTCTCAAAATTTTGCCCATTGTTCAACCATCTCAATCATAAATGCAAGCTATTTCATATCACCTGAATTCCTGTGTTTCACTGAGCAATTATGTTTTCAAAATCTAAAGTGTTGTGGTTAATGTCATTGCTAGTTATTTCAAAGTAAAAATGAATGCTTTTGGTTACTTATCCATTGTTAAGTGTATAATAAACCAATCAACTTTTGGTGTACACTTTTGAAAAATTTTCCAGAATGCATTTGATTCTGAAACAAAAAACTGTTTCAATAGCTTTTGTTAAAATATTAAATGAACTGACATATTGCTTGAGAACTTGATCTGTAATTTGTCATGATAAAACTATATATACCAAATATCAAATCAATATCTTCAAGCATGAAGAAAAAAAGTGTGGAAAACTGATTTGCTGGAAAAAATAAAAATGTAGTTGCATGATAAGTGAGAGTTTGCATTTCTTGCCACTGTTGGACTGACATGTCTCAATAATAATGTAATAAACATCTTTTGCACATTTTTTTTATTTTTGTACTTGCTCACACTCTTCTCACAGATTTGTAGCACTCACACTAAATTTCATGTACAGGATTTTTTTTTTCTTGCACTGTACTGACACATTAAGGGGTATAAAGTTGCATAATAAAAAGTAACAGATTTAGTTTGTATTTTCTTTTAACAGAAATATGGCCCTTCACTCAGGCAGTTGAGATCTAATATTATGGACAGAGGCATTCTTATCGCAAAAAAACAAATTGTCCGTTGTTTAATAAAAAAAATATTGTAATATATATCTTGGATCTAGTGCTAAGCCTGAGAACTGCAAGAGATCTGAATATCATATGGATTAATCATTTTATTTTGTTGAAAGTTTAATGCTACCTCCTAAATATTCATACACACTATAATATTGAACATTTCTTTTTGAGGAGATCAGTGCATGGTAAAAGTTGAATGCTACCTCCTAAATATTCATACACACTATAATAGTGAACATTTCTTTTTGAGGAGATCAGTGCATGGTAAAAGTTTAATGCTACCTCCTAAATATTCATGCACACTATAATAGTGAACATTTCTTTTTGAGGAGATCAGTGCATGGTAAAAGTTTAACGCTACCTCCTAAATATTCATACACACTATAATAGTGAACATTTCTTTTTGAGGAGATCAGTGCATGGTAAAAGTTTAATGCTACCTCCTAAATATTCATACACACTATAATAGTGAACATTTCTTTTTGAGGAGATCAGTGCATGGTAAAAATAAAACCTGACGTTTTGTAACTGACAAATTTATGGTCTACATATTCTAGTTAAGTATAGATTTATATTGGTTTTTATACGACCGCAAAAAAATTTTGCGGTCGTATATTGGTATGATGTGGCGTCGTCGTTGCGAAGACACATTGATTTTTGCACTCTAACTTTAGTTTAAGTGAATGAATCTCTATGAAATTTTACCATAAGGTTCAATACCACAAAAGGAAGGTCGGGATTGATTTTGGGGGTTATGGTACCAACAGTTAAGGAATAAGGGGCCTAAAATAAGCATTTTTGTAACTTCCAGACATAACTTGTGTGTTAGTGTATGGATCTCTCTGACATTGTACCACAAGGTTCCATATCACAAAGGGAATGCTGGGATTGATTTTGGGGGAAACTGCCTCAAAATTTTAGGAATTAGGGGCCAAAAAAGGGTAAAAAAAACAAGCATTTTTCTAGTTTCATGACAATAACTTGTGTGCAAGTGTATGGATCTTTCTGAAATTGTACTACAAGGTTCCATATCACAAAGGGAAAGCTGGAATTGAGTTTGGGGGTAATTGCCCAAAATGTTTAGGAATAAGGGGCCAAAAATAAGCATTTTTCTAGTTTCCAGGCAATAACTTGTGTTCAAGTGTATGGATCTCTCTGAAATTGTACTGCAAGGTACCATACCACAAAAGGAAGGCTGGGATTGATTTTGGGGGTAATTGCCTCAAAATTTTAGGAATTAGGGGCAAAAAACAAGCATTTTTCTAGTTTCTGGACAATAACTTGTGTGTAAGTGTATGGATCTCTCTGAAATTGTACTGCAAGGTACCATACCACAAAGGGAAGGCTGGGATTGAGTTTGGGGGTGATGAATCATAAGGGGGTTCAAAAAATTGGGGGGGGGGGTTTCCTTTTTTTCCTTTTTTTTTCTTTATAATTTTTCTATTTTAAATTGGTTATTTCTGATTTATATATAAAAGCAAATAATAATGATATGGTTTGAATAGGTAAATTAAAATTTTTTAAGTTCTTAGACCACATTCATTCTGTGTCAGAAACCTATGCTGTGTTAAAAATTTAATCACAATCCAAATTCAGAGCTGTATCAAGCTGAAATGTTGTGTCCATAATTGCCCCAACTGTTCAGGGTTCAACCTCTGCAGTCGTATCAAGCTGCGCACAGCGGAGCATTTTATTTACACATTGATATCATTAAATATCATCCACAAGCCACAATGTGAAACTTTTTGACAGGAGCAGACGACAAAGCTGAAAAGCTTCATATTGTGTCAAGCAGTAGATAATTATATTATAGTCTGAATGCAGAAAGCCAGATAATCTGCTAATTGTGCTATTTCTTATCTTTTTCCCTTACTTGGACAGTGTTACTCATGATGAAAATAAGCTTGATGATGTCTCCCAACACATTGTTACATTGCTGATTAATTCTCCTCAGACATCGTGGTATTGCTGATAAGTTCTGCCACGTCTCAAAGGCATGATACGAAAATTACAGAGCAACTGAGCAGGCAAGTATCACACTAATACTGTGGATTCATTATTATTCGTTGTATAGTAATTTTCGTGGGTTTCGTGGGTACAGGTGAACAAAGAATTCAAATGATCAACGAATAACAAATTTTCTATAGGCTTTGTATGAAGAGATTGGCAAAACCACGAAATCAAATATCCACAAAAACACAAGTTTTCCTCAATCCACGAAAATTGATACCCACGAAAAAATAAATGAATCCACAGTAATTGAAATTGGGCTATTGATGTTTTATGTCCTGTAGAAAGTATTACTGGCATATCAGGATAAGCACAGGTTGATGGGATGTGATTATTATCCCTGCTTTATACTAGACCTTCACATCAAGCTGAATTTTTAATAGGCTAATTGACAAATTTGTAGTCTGAAGGAAGAAATTTCCTCTTACCAGGACACATTATTCAGGCTCTTAGCTGATTTCTTGATCATTGATGCACTGCTTAGCTTAGAAGCAGCAAAAAACAATTTTTAAGTCTTTGGTTTGTCCGACCCATGACCTCTTGTCCTACACTCTAGGTGAGCACAGTACTATGACACCACTAAGGTGATTAAATTGCTTTGATCTCGTTATTAAATCCCTTTGAACTCCCTTTCACTAACTTTGACAATTCCTGGATTAATTATCTTTTGTCATGTTGTTAGTTATTTTTTGTGCTTAGTACTGAACTGACCAATCAAGCCCATTTCAATTGATTTTTGGCTGTGATGGACAGACCAAAACTGGCTTAAAGTATGTTGACGTTGGGCAGAAGGTGGTGGGTAGATACCTAATTTGTGTAATCAACTCCTAGTTTTCAACACAGTTCCCTAAAACTTCACAGGATTTTGCACTTATTGAAGATTTGCACCGACTAATATGGAGGTGTTTTGGGAATTTTCCCCCATTTTTCCAGACTTGGGAACTTATCGGTAGTCATTCTTCAGCATAGTTACAAAAAATTTGTGTAATCAGCAATCCAGGTCCTTGAAACTTCACAGAATGATTGCATATATATTGAAGTTGTGCAATTCCATTATAGAGCAGTTTAAAGATTTGTTCCAATTTTTACATTCCATATTTCAATATATTTAATTGTTCAGTATGGATCATTCTCTATTGTTTAAGAAAAAGTGTATTCAACCCCACCATTTTCAGGATTCGGGACTTTGATCCATTTCATTGGCAAACATACTACATCTCCTTATTTTCATACTATCACAATCCGGTAGGTCAAGTGCACCTTGCAATTTTGCAAATAATAGGAGCAAAGCTGGTGTCAACACTATTCCTACTGAAAGTACATGTATTCAATCTTCTGTTGAAACAGTTGTCAATAAACTAATGTAAATTCAGAAATTTTTATGTGCCTTCATTATGTGATTGTTGAAACATATACACAAATGCCATATTATTTTTTTCAATTTCATTACATGCTGCAAAGAAATAAAGCGATCATAATTAATAACAAAAGATTTTATTTTTGTGAAACATATATTGTTGCAGTTTTTTGCAATAATAAAAACATCTAAAATAAATGGCGAATGTGTCCATGGGACACAGATGATGCCCCCGCTTGCATATAATGTTATAAAGGGACATAACTCAAGAACTGTAAAAGTGAAGCTAGCCAAATTTGTACTTGATCTGAGTTTTGTGGTAATAAGCATTGTTTATTAGTTTCCGAACATTTAGTTGAGGCAAACTTAAGTAATAGAACGGAAACAAAAAATTCAGCAATTTTTCCATTTGTAAAGGGCATAACTCTAGAACTGTACAAGTGACGCCAACATAATTCGAACTTGATCTGTGTTTTGTGGTAATTAGCATTGTGTATAAGTTTCATAACATTTGGTTGAGGCAAACTAAAGTTAGAGAACAGAAACAAATATTTCAGCAATTTTTCCATTGTAAAGGGGCATAACTCTACATCGGTAAAAGTGTTTCTACCAAAATTCAAACTTGATCTATGTTTTGTGGTAATAAGCATTGTGTATAAGTTTCATAACATTTGGTTGAGGCAAACTAAAGTTACACTATTGTTTCAGATAAGGGTGAAGGTTAGGTACCATTAAAACGTTTAAACCTGCTGCAATTGTTTGCACCTGTCCTAAGTCAGGAATCTGATGTTCAGTAGTTGTCGTTTGTTGATGTGGTTCATAAGTGTATCTCATTTTTTATATAGATTAGATCATTTTTTTCCCGTTTGAATGGTTTTACACTAGTAATTTTTGGGGCTTTTTTATAGCTTGCTGTTCGGTGTGAGCCAAGGCTCCGTGTTGAAGACCGTACTTTGACCTATATTGGTTTACTTTTATAAATTTTTACTTGGATGTCTCATTGGCATTCATACCACATCTTCTTATATATAATTAGAGAACAGAAACCAATTTTGGGACGTACAGACGGACAAGGGTAAAACTTAATGCCCCCTTCGCTACGGTGGGGGCATAAAAATTCTGAATTTACAATATCTAAAAGCCTCAAAAACCAAGACATTTGGGAAATGAACTAACTAACAAATATAAACAATGTTCTTGGTCACACTTTATTACCATATAAACTTAAGATAGAAATTATTGTCTTTAACACAACAACATTGTTTCTGTGGATTATTAATCATCGCTAACTACTTCTACTGGTGGTATATCAGGTGTATCCCAATCCACTTCCACTGTTCTGTGATCTGGATAGGACAATGTTTCACGGGTTACAGGCTCAGCTAACATCTGTACAAATAAAGAGTTAGTTGTAATAATTGATTATAATCTGAACCAACATTTGAGAGGCTGATTGATACTTAAGAGGCAGAAGATACAAAGGTGACAATAAAAAAAAACATAACTCAAAGAAAAACACAATACCAGATAAAATAAAATGCTCCGCAGGGCGCAGCTTGATACGACCGCAGAGGTCGAACCCTGAACAGTTGGGGCAAGTATGGACACAACATTCAAGCTTGATACAGCTCTGAATTTGGATTGTGATTAAATATTTGACACAGCATAGGTTTCTGACACAGAATGAATGTGGTCTAAGAACTTAAAAATTTTAAATTGGACATTCACCTATTATGGTCCAATATCCAAAATCTAAATACATGGTTAGATTCAGCATATCAAAGAACCCCAAGAATTCAATTTTTGATGAAATCAAACAAAGTTTAATTTTGGACCCTTTTGATCTCAATGTGGACAAAAATGATAACAGGGCCCAAAAATCAAAAATCTAAATACATGGTTAGATTCAGCATATCAAAGAACCCCATATATTCAATTTTTGTTGAAATCAAACAAAGTTTAATTTTGGACCCCGATTTGGACCAACTTGAAAACTGGGCCCATAATCAAAAATCTAAATACATGTTTAGATTCAGCATATCAAAGAACCCTAAAAATTCAATTTTTGTTAAAATCAAACTAAGTTTAATTTTGGACCCTTTGGACCTTTATGTAGACCAATTTGAAAACGGAACCAAAAATTAAGAATCTAAATACACGGTTAGATTCGGCATATCAAAGAACCCCAATAATTCAATTTTTGATGAAATCAAACAAAGTTAAATTTTGGACCCTTTGGACTTCAATGTGGACCAATTTAAAAACGGGGCCCAAAATCCAAAAACTTAATACAAGGTTAGATTCAGCATATTACAGAACCCCATATATTCAATTTTTGTTGAAATCAAACAAAGTTTAATTTTGGACCCCGATTTGGACCAACTTGAAAACTGGGCCCATAATCAAAAATCTAAATACATGGTTAGATTCAGCATATCAAAGAACCCCATATATTCAATTTTTGTTGAAATCAAACAAAGTTTAATTTTGGACCCCGATTTGGACCAACTTGAAAACTGGGCCCATAATCAAAAATCTAAATACATGGTTAGATTCAGCATATCAAAGAACCCCATATATTCAATTTTTGATGAAATCAAACAAAGTTTAATTTTGGACCCTTTGGATCTCAATGTGGACAAAGTTGATAACGGGGCCCAACAATCAAAAATCTAAATACATGGTTAGATTCAGCATATCAAAGAACCCCATATATTCAATTTTTGTTGAAATCAAACAAAGTTTAATTTTGAACCCCGATTTGGACCAACTTGAAAACTGGGACCATAATCAAAAATCTAAATACATGGTTAGATTCAGCATATCAAAGAACCCCATATATTCAATTTTTGTTGAAATCAAACAAAGTTTAATTTTGGACCCCGATTTGGACCAACTCGAAAACTGGGCCCATAATCAAAAATCTAAATACATGGTTAGATTCAGCATATCAAAGAACCCCATATATTCAATTTTTGTTGAAATCAAACTAAGTTTAATTTTGGACCCTTTGGACCTTTATGTAGACCAATTTGAAAACAGAACCAAAAATTAAGAATCTAAATACACGGTTAGATTCGGCATATCAAAGAACCCCAATAATTCAATTTTTGATGAAATCAAACAAAGTAAAATTTTGGACCCTTTGGACCTCAATGTGGACCAATTTAAAAACGGGGCCCAAAATCCAAAAACTTAATACACGGTTAGATTCAGGATATTAAAGAACCCCAAGAATTCAAGAATAAAACCCCATTGAAATTGATCAAGAAATAAGCAATTTATACGAAGTATCTTCTTTTGCACAATACTGTGCAATTGATTATTTCTTGCTATTGCGCAATACTGTACAATTGACAATTTCTTGCTATTGCGCAATATTGTGCTATTGGATATTTCTTGCTATTGCGCAATACTGTGCAATTGAAGATTTCTTGCTATTGCGCAATACTGTGCAATTGAAGATTTCTTGCTATTGTGCAATACTGTGCAATTGAAAATTTCTTGCTATTGCACAATACTTATTATATAATAATTTACACATCCTGTTTGGTGTGTATCTCCTACCATATCATTATTATTTGCTTTTAAATATAAATCAGAAATAACCAACTTAAAATGGAAAATTTTAAAAGAAAAAAAAAAAGGAAAAAAAGAAAAAAAAAAGAAAAAAAAAAATCCCCCCCCAAAATTTTTTGAACCCCCTTATGATTCATCACCCCCAAACTCAATCTCAGCCTTCCCTTTGTAGTATGGTACCTTGCAGTACAATTTCAGAGAGATCCATACACTTGAACACAAGTTATTGTCTGGAAACTAGAAAAATGCTTATTTTTGGCCCCTTTTTGGCCCCCAATTCCTAAACGTTTCGGGCAATTACCCCCAAACTCAATTCCAGCTTTCCCTTTGTGATATGGAACCTTGTAGTACAATTTCAGAAATATCCAAACACTTACACACAAGTTATTGTCATGAAACTAGAAAAATGCTTGTTTTTTGCCCCTTTTTTGGCCCCTAATTCCTAACATTTTGAGGCAATTACCCCCAAAATCAATTACAGCCTTCCCTTTGTGATATGGAACCTTGTGGTACAATGTCAGAGAGATCCATACACTTACACACAAGTTATTGTCTGGAAGTTACAAAAATGCTTATTGTTGGCCCCTTTTTGGCCCCTTATTCCTTAACTGTTGGTACCATAACCCCCAAAATCAATCCCAACCTTCCTTTCATGGTATTGAACCTTATGGTAAAATTTCATGGAGATCCATTCACTTAAACTAAAGTTAGAGTGCGAAAACCAATGTGTCTTCGGACGACGCCAGACGACGCCGGACGACGACGACGACGACGACGACAACGACGACGACGACGACGCCAACGTCATACCAATATACGACCAAAAAATTTTCAATTTTTGCGGTCGTATAAAAATCATCACTACAAAACACTACACAGAAAACTAAATATTGAGCAACACCAAGTCAAGCACCACACAGATATGTTCATGAACAAACTTTGGAAAAAGTCAAAAATATAAATTGTTTGAGACTGTATTGAGAGAATAAATATTAAAGGCTCTAAATAAAATAGCCAAAACTGTCTGATTTTAATTCTGATTGAGATAGTTACAACTGTGAACGGTTAATTTTGGCACAATTGCATCTTTTATGAACTGGAAATTTACATGCAAAATATTCTAAGCAATGGCAACTGGCCTGGTCTAAATATGATACATTTTGTACAATTTATTCAGCTGTAAGAAGAGAATACACCCCAAACTTTCTAATTCAACCATCTGACAGTCCAATTCAATTCAATTATAGTTTTTCAATGAATTGTACACAAATGATTGGACATTTCAGATACCCTTTATCCTGTTCTGGCATAAGGAGTAGGGTATTCCCTTAACATGGATGAATTTTTTGTGTTGACCTACAATGTACAAGCATTTTCCCTCCAAATTGTTTCTGCTTCATTTTTGCCTAGTTGAAAATCTGATTGACAAGAATGAAACCAATTAATGTGTATCTACTGTTAAAGTTGAATTTCTATTTTTTTAAAGTCTTTTTTATCAATGGTTAAAAATTCTGTAACACTCAGAGATCTGGTTATTTTGAAAGATTTTCAACACTCAAAAACATTACATATGATTTTATTTTGCTTTGTCAAAAGATCTTCTTTAATCATGTTAATAGACAATAAAATGCTTCGCAGAGTGCAGCCTGATACGACCGCAGAGGTCGAACCTTGAACAGTTGGGGCAAAAAATTTGGACACAATATTCAAGCTTGATACTGTCTGAATTTGGATTGTGATCAAATTTTTGACATAATATAGGTTTCTGACACAAAATAAATGTGGTCAAAGAGCTTAAAAATTTGAAATGGGACATTCATTTTACCTAGAATGGTCTGATATCCAAAATCTAACAACATGGTTAGATTCAGCATATAAAAAACACCAAAAATTTAATTTTAGTTGAAATCAATCAAAAGTTTAATTTTGGACCCTTCAAACCTTAATATGGACTAATTTGAAAACAGGGCCCAAAATAAAAAATCTAAATGCACAATAAGATTCAGCATATCATACAGCCACAATCATTCAGTTTTTGATGAAATCAAACAAAGTTTAATTTTGGACCCTTTTGACCTCAATGTAGACCAATTTAAAAATGGGGCCCAATATCCAAAAAAGTAATACAAGGTAAGAACCCCCAAAAATTAAAGACTTTAAATTAATCCCATTGAAATTGGTTAAAAGATTTGTATTTATTTTCAATTGAAGATTTCTTGCTATTGCGCAATACTGTGCAATTGAAGATTTCTTGCTATTGCGCAATACTGTGTAATTGAAGATTTCTTGCTATTGCGCAATACTGTGCTATTGTGTAATACTGTGCTATTGCGCAATACTGTGCTATTGCGCAATACTGTTCTATTGCGCAATACTGTGTTGTTGCGCAATACTGTGCAATTAAAGATTTCTTGCTATTGCGCAATACTGTGCAATTGAAGATTTCTTGCTATTGTCCAATATTGTGCTATTGTACAATACTGTGAAATTGCGCAATACTGTGCAATTGAAGATTTCTTGCTATTGCGCAATACTGTGCAATTAAAGATTACAAAAACTTTGAAGAAAAAAAATATGAACCCCAAAAAATTGGGAAAAAAAATCCCCCCCCCCCCTCCAGTACAATTTTAGAGAGATCCATACACTTACACACAAGTTATTGTCTGGAAACTAGAAAAAATGCAATGAAGTTTATTAAACTAAAGTTATTGGCAAATTTCCAATGGAATTTATTAATGATAAAGTTTTTGGCAAATTTCCAATATACATAATTTAAAAGCAGTTTAGGTGAGATAAACAAAAAAGCTCCATCAGCAACATTTTATATTGGCAAATTTCCAATGAAGTTCATTAAACTAAAGTTATTGGCAAATTTCCAATGGAATTTATTAATAATAAAGTTTTTGGCAAATTTCCAATATACATAATTTAAAAGCAGTTTAGGTGAGATATTCAAATGAGTTTCAATTACCAACCTTACACTGCCTTTTAAATTATGTTTTGTACTTAAGTAATTGTCCATTAACCTGGAAACCCTTTTCCCCCCTTTTTTGCACCTTATTCCTTAACGGTTTGAGTCATAACTCCCAAAGACAATTCTTACCATCCCTTTGTGGTATTCCAATATCCAAAATCTAAATACATGGTTAGATTCAGCTTATCAAAGAACCCCAAGAATTCAATTTTTGATGAAATCAAATAAAGTTCAATTTTGGACCCTTTAAAGCTCAATGAGGACCAATTTGATAACCGGGCCCAAATATCAAAAATCTAAATACATGGTTAAATTCAGCATATCGAAGAACCCCATATACACGTATTCAATTTTTGTTGAAATCAAACAAAGTTTAATTTTGGACCCCGATTTGGACCAACTTTAATACTGGGCCCATAATAAAAAAACTAAGTACATGTTTAGATTCAGCATATCAAAGAACCCCAAGAATTCAATTTTTGTTAAAATCAAACTAAGTTTAATTTTGGACCCTTTGGACCTTAATGTAGACCAATTTGAAAACGGGACCAAAAAATTAAGAATCTAAATACAGGGTTAGATTAGGCAATTACCCCCAAAATCAATCCCAGCCTTCCCTTTGTGGTATGGTACCTTGCAATACAATATCAGAGAGATCCATACACTTGAACACAAGTTATTGTCTGGAAACTAGAAAAATGCTTATTTTTGGACCCTTTTTGGCCCCTTATTCCTAAACGTTTTGGGCAATTACCCCCAAACTCAATTCCAGCTTTCCCTTTGTGATATGGAACCTTGCAGTACAATTTCAGAAAGATCCATACACTTACACACAAGTTATTGTTATGAAACTAGAAAAATGCTTGTTTTTTGCCCCTTTTTTTGCCACTAATTCCTAATATTTTGAGGCAATTACCCCCCAAGAAGCATCTTTATAACTTCCATGAATTCAAAACATTCTATGACTATTTGTGTTTTAAAATGTTTCAATATAAAGCCTGGAGTCTTATGTCTGGTCAATCATGGGCAAATCAAACCATGAACTGTGGCATTAAAGACAAGCTAACTTTTATAATCATAAAACATTAAGACGACAGAAGATTAACAGAGTCTTGTTATACGATTCATATTTCTTTGACTTCCAACATGAATCATTTTCAGATTGTGAAAAATACATGTACACACATGTATGCTAACCCTGCAAGTTGGCTGCATTTTGGTGTCGACTTTAACACAGGTCTAATGGCCCCAGACCAGTGAATTTAGAAGTGGGACAGTAAAGGTCAACTGCCCATATGAACCAGTAAATTTTAGATCAAATTTTGTAGTATTGCATTTAGACGAGCAAGTAAATTTTAAGACAGGAACATATTCATTTCAACTGGCCCTGTTGGCAAGCCTAATATAAGTTAGTACGACGATCTCTGGCAAGTCTTTTGGAAACTTTACCTACCACATAATGAATAAGGACAAATGCCAGAACATTTCCTAACAGCATCATGTTTTGTTTTCTTGATTTAGCTTGATATCCCTCCTGCCAGGATCCTGTAGGCTGGGGTAAGTCATCCATTGTGGTTTTTGTTATTACAGCTATTTCTCTTTCAGACATGTGACCACCCATATTTCTAACAGATTGTCTACCTAAAAATATATTGAAATCATTTAACATTTTTCACTTTGAACTAGCTATAAAAAATGTTCTAAGATTTTAGAAAATAAAAACTATTAAGAAAAACTTGTCATGATGTTTTTTCCTCATGGTCATACCTTTAATAAGATTTGTTTAATAAATTGCAATTTTATGTACCCAGTAATAATTTTTGGCAAAAGAGTAGTGCTACCAAAAGCTTAATGAAGCTTGTGTTAACAAAATGTGATACCCTGAAAGATTTATCAAATGAAACAGTGTATAAATTCACTTCCACAGTACAACATAAAGGATATGTAAGATAGCATGCTAACATGTGTTAAATTATATATCATTGTGTATTTATTCTCTGCACAATCGGAGAAAATGTTTAAAAAAGGTCAAAATCTATCAATCCACCCTTTATTTTTCAATTTCTATAAAACGAAAGTTTATAAATAAAGTATGACGCAAACATGAAACAGAAAATGAAACCATGAAAAATGATTATTTATGAGTGTTTGTGTCCAAAATAAAATAAATTACTAAATACTACTCTAATGAATGTTCAAAATCTATACAAGGTAATTTGTTACAAATAATTGTTTTAATGAAGGCCTTATAAACGCAATGCGATTCAGATGAAATTCAACAAATTCTAACATCCTCTTATCAAATTACTGCAGTAATTTAAATTTGCAAATTAAATTGGAACATTTTAACTTACATAAAAATTGTAGTAACGAGATGGTGATTTTAAAATTTGTCAACTTCAAATAAGTGTAAGTCAGGCATGTCAGGAGCCTGTAATTCAGTGGTTGTCGTTTGTTGCTGTATATCATATTTGTTTTCTGTTCATTATTTTGCACATTATCAGGCCATTAGTTTTCTCATTTGAATTGTTTTACATTTGTCATTTCGGGGCCTTTTATAGCTGACTATGCCGTATGGGTTTTACTCATTGTTGAAGGCTGTACCGTGACCTATATTTGTTAATTTCTGTGTCATTTGGTCTCTTGTGGAGAGTTGTCTCATTGGCAATCATACCACATCTTCTTATTTTTATATGGTAAAAGAATGTTATGAAACAATTAAGGCTATTTTATTTTTAATCTCTAAAAATTTGATCTCTAGTGGAAAGATGTCCTATTGCAAATCATACATTGTACCACATCTACTTATTTTCATATTGTAATAAGTCCCAAAATACAGGACTTTATAAAAAAAATAATGAAACATACATGTACAGTAGCTCCCTGAGTGACTCCCTCATACATTTTGTTAAACCATACCCAGTGTCAAATGTATGTGTTTCTTCACACATACATGTATTACACGCTACATAATAATTTTTCTACCTTTCATAATTTTAAACACAGCATATGCCCTAGCAACACTTAAAGAAATAGATAACAAGATTTCTTCATATATTCATTTGTAACAAATTTCACTTGTCCATTTCAACACATTGAAAATAAGAATAAATTGAAACAATTATTAATGCTTTCTGTTACTATTTATTTCTATAACATATGTAAATTTAAAATGAAATGTATCATTGTCTCATGGGTTTTCGTGCTATTTAGAATGCATTATGACGTCATAATTTCCATTGAAAAAGCATGCATAGTATGAATTCATATGACGTACGAAAACATATGATCTGACCATATGCATTAAAGATCGATTGCACAGATAAACAGGGGTTGTGCTAGCTCCATTTACCATGTTTACGTTCAAGACCTGTTTGTAGGCCTATCAAACGTCATACATTTTCTTTTGTTTTGTTCATTGTGTTTAAATTTTATTTCTCATTTTAGCACAACCAGTAACCAAATTAAAAAAAAAATTATGTGGCTAATCAGATTTTGCAGTCACCCTCATTAAATTTCACGATTAATGAGCAAGAAATCAATAAACAGTTATGCTGATTTCAGAGAGATCTTTTGGAGGAATTTGAGACTAGAATCCAAGAATCACTGTTATACATTGTACACAAATGAAGTTATAATAACGATCTGAGATTGTATTTGCATTGTAGTTGTAAATTTTGTCTGAATATGTGACCCAAAAATAATGTGTCGATTATACTTCTACGAACTAACAGATCTTAATTACATAATCTAATTGATAGGACTTGTGTCTTTTATTTGACGTCTAAGTGACAAATACCGACATGTGCCATTTGGAAAATACAATGTAAACTAACCTTCATTTGTTCATCTGAAACATTCATAAGAATAGAACATAAATGTACAATTAATTGACTGTAGAGTTTATTTCAATTGTCTTAGAACTTAACTTAAGTACATAAAATTACCAAGAGCATTTTTAATTGCTAGTCTTGAGACGGGAAGCAATCTTGTAAGCATTTTGAAGGACAAGTTGGTCTGCAATGGCTGCTTATTTCGGATCTCTCTATGGTTTTGCTAGAAGTAGGAACCAGATACGTTAAGAGCTAGGTATTGCAACCAAATCAGAAAAACGCAAGGAACCAGTAAAAAATGTAAACAGGAAATGGATCGATGGGAATGGTGCGAAAGCGATATTTTTGACAAGCCTGGTGAAAGTTTTGTCTGTCAGCAAGCAGTTGTTTCACTTTACGACGGAGAAGACAAAGTATGCTCTTCCACAATATCGACTTTTTTCTCTATGTCCATTTCAAGAAAGAAAATTGTACCAAAAAAGGGGAGATAATCAATATAAAAAAAGTACAGTAAAAAAATCTGCGGTTTTACAAATGATGAAATGTACATAATACGAAACAGGTGTTATCTGTGAAAGGAGACAGAGCCAGCGAACCATTAGAATACTTAATAATATCCCATTAACAGCAGATTTATATATATGTAGGACTCGCAGGTGATGATGTGTGATATGGTGACACTGTCAGATGGTGAAATGCAAATTATGGTCTGCGCCAAAGTGTTATGGTCCCTTCGCTGATGTGCAATGGACTATAAGATGTGTGATAACTAGTTTAAAATCTGCAGATGTCCAATTATTATGAGAGTTTAAATTTTTTATTAGTTAGTATATATATAAATACCCAACGCTCCACTTGCAGTAAAATCCATCTACCAGGTGATCTATCTTGATTGGGGGCCCCATATAAATAATATAACTTCAAAGGCAAATAAACACTAGGATTTTTACGTAGAAACATGAAAAATTGTACACGTAAGGTTAAAAACCTTACGTACACATAGCTTGTGCGTCCGACCGTCGAGTACTCCTCACCAGTTTGGGATCCGTACAAACAAAGCCAAATAAACCAAATTGAGCAGATACAGCGTAAGGCAGCAAGATATGTTTTTAATGACTATAACGATAGATCACCAGGTGCTGTCACTGGTATGTTAAACAAACTAAAATGGGAAAACTTGCAATCCCGTAGAACAAAAGCTTAAGCTTGTCTTGATTTATAAGATTAATGGGGGGTTGGTCGAAGTCACTAATGACGTCCTGACACAATCTGACAGGCGAACTAGAGGCCAACATAAATTTCCGTCACAGTTCCGGGATATTCCACACTCCGGCACCGGAGTCTTTCCCGTACCAGGAAGAAGAAGAAGAAGAAGATCTATCTCATTTCTTGATCTCATTCACAGCAGCCATATAGATGTAACGCTTATTTTGTTTAGTTCTGACTAATCAAGTAGTATTTGCATTTCAAACAGCTTCCTATGCTTTTATGTCATTGCAATTAGTACTGGTCTTTACATACAGGAAAATAACCTTTGTATGACTATGTAGCTTCTTTAGTGGTTAATTTCTGAACGATTGTATGAACGATTCCTTTTTTTTTGTCTAAGCTGGAAATGCAATGACTATTTACCATGGCTGTTTTGAATTAAACAGGTTATATTTATGTTTTACTTAAAAAAAGCTACTTCTGACATGTCTGACAAACAAATTGACTTATACATCAGCATGTGAACTTGAAAAATATAGAAAATATAGATTATGAGTCCATCACACTTCAGTGTTACCACCATTACACTTTGGTGTAGCAAAGAACAAGATAGCTTCACAATGCCCTACACACTTCAGCATGATCAAAAATGCACAACAGCGTCAAACCATCGCATTTCAGAGTGACCATCGCGGTTTGGAGTACCATCCTGGTTCAGAGTCCTACATACACGTATATAAACATTTATTATATAAATTTCTGGTGTCCAAAAAAGAAACTGAATTATGGAAACGTATCCAATGTTGGTCCTATTGTTAGGAATTTTATATATGATGTCAGGGTTAACCTGACTTTGACCTCATTTCATGGATTGGTGATTAAGATTAAAGTTTTGTTGTCAAGTCTGTATCTCAGATACTATAAGCATTAATTTCACTATATTTGGTGTATGGAATGATTGTATGGTGTACATATCCACCAAGCAGGTTTCATCTTACCTTGACCTCATTTGTATATGGATCATTGATAATGTTTAGTTTATGTGATGCTTATTGTTAAACCTTTTTATTAAAGACTTTCAATATAAATTCACTCATGACCAGTAAAGCAGGTGGAATATTTTAGCGTATGCCTTCTTGTTTTTAGATAGGGGAAAACCAGAATTGGAGCAAAACCACCGGGCAAACCAGAATCATTGCCAGAAGAGCCAGGACCACACAAGCCAAATCTGCATACTATTTATTTCATTTTCAATATCATTGATATTACAATGTATAACCTTTCATTTCAGAGTACTTTTGTTCATGGCTTACTAACACTGACTACACATAGATTACAATGGAAGGATCCTAAAAACAGAGTAAGTATTAACCATTGTTAACATGGAATTATCATTTCTATATAACATGTAGCGAATATGGAAGTTTGTTAATTGAAAATCTCCTACATCATACTTTGAAATTAGAAGTAAGCTAGAGGTATAGTGGGAGGGTTGAGATCTCATAAACATGTTTAACCCCGCCGAATTTTTGCGCCTGTCCCAAGTCAGGAGCTTCTAGCCTTTGTTAGTCTTGTATTATTTTTAATTTTAGTTTCTTGTGTACAATTTGGAGTTTAGTATGGCGTTCATTATCACTGAACTAGTATATATATTTGTTTAGGGGCCAGCTGAAGGACGCCTCGGGTGCGGGAATTTCTCGCTGCATTGAAGACCTGTTGGTGACCTTCTGCTGTTGTCTGTTCTATGGTCGGGTTGTTGTCTCTTTGACACATTCCCCATTTCCATTCTCAATTTTATTGACTCCTTGATCAGAACAATATTTATTATTTCTGATAGCAAAATATTGATTGAGTGGTGTTTAACGACACTTTCAGCACTATTGGCTATTTCGTGGCAGTCAGTTTTTATTGGTGGAGGAAGCTGGAGAACAACTGACTTGTGGCTTAAAAACTGATAATCTTAGTCAATTAAAATCGAAGCTGAGCACATCTGCCACATGCGGGGTTCTCAACCTCAGTGTTGACAGGCGAGTGATACATGTACAGTAGTTGGACTACTTAGACATCTTGGCCACTGAGGCCCCGCAAAATATTGACCTTGCCTTTCAACACATGAGGAAGTTTTTCAGGCAATATCAACTATGGTTACAATATGATTTAAATGGAAGGCAACATGACTGATTTGCTGTGATGTTTTTTTCAGATCAGATAATGTTTTTATATTTGCTGTTCTTGACCTTCTTGACTTTAGTGAATAGGTGTCATAATGTACACCATATTATTTTTACTGATACTGTTCAGCCCATCTTCACGGTTTTATTTGAGATCTTTTTTTGCTCTAAAAGATTAGTTTGTTTACAGTATATAGATAATAGGACATGTAGGGAAAAAGACAATTTTACAGCAACCCAACAACACAAAATATTACAAAAAACATCTTACAGGTCAGCATTAGGCCTATGTTTTAAATGTCAAAACTTTATTTACACTTCATTGCATACAATTTTGTATTTACAGTCAGAGGAAGAAAGGAAAAGCAATATAATTTATGTACATCTTACTAATGATTTATTCAATTCAGTAGTAGTTTGCATGGTTATTTCATTTTCAACCAGCAAGTACTGTAAATTCAGAAATTATTGCATGCATTTATTATTGCGATTTTTGAAGAATGAACAAAAATGTGATTTTAATTATTGCGATTTTAGGAAAAGCTACACAAAGCTTTATGTACAAGATATCAAAATGCGAGTTCTTATTATTGCGATTCTCAAGGAGTCGCATTATTCACAATAATAAAAACCTTGCAATAATTTCTGAATTTACAGTCATTGAAATACTCAAATAGTAATCTCCCATTAGTCAGAAGTACAGCATGTTCTGTGTAGTGAATCTGTCCACTTGTCTTTAATGTGTTTCAATGATGAGATTAAGAATTTATACTGTATAAACAGCCCATATTTGTTGGAGGAAAGAGATTCAAGCTCTCAGAAAACTTGCTTTATTTTTCAGTCTAGAATATTATCTTTGCCTCTATCATTGGTTGTATTTTTGGAACAAGAAGCAGCTGGATTTTCTAAAAGGTAGGTAACTTTGTATGATATCACCTTTTTTGTTGATGAGAAAACAGTGGGGTTGGTTAACAATAAGTTTGATGGCTAGAACTTCAATGACCAGGAAATATTGTTTTTAAGTGATTGGTAGTTTGAGTAACAAGTATCCAAACTTTAGAATTTATGAAAAAAATAGCATGTGCCTACCAGAACTGAATTGTCCATTGCAAATTCTAAACTTGTTGTTTGTCAACAAATTTGAAGGCGATAGTGTTATGGAATATATTTTGTAAAGATTTAAGAGCGTACATTGAGTAATTTTTGTCTGGTTTTTGTTTAAAAAATTTAATTTGTTTCAAATAAAGTTGATTTTATTTATCTTGTGAATTAATAAATGATAGAGAGAAATAAAAACCCACAAAAAGGAAATGTAGAAAAAAGAAGATAAGGTAAAATTAATCCTGGTAAAATAGATTGATTCAATTGCTCCTGAGGGTAAAGAGTTTCTTATTGCATGTGACCAAGTTCATATTATTACATACACACTTCACATCTAAATTATTGTTTTTGAAATGTATAATTTTTTTACTTTTTTGTACAGTGCAAAGATAGTTGTACATCTAAATTCAGCTGACAGCAACAAACCAGCAGGACCTAATAGACAAAGTCGATATAATTACATCAAGTTGTCATTTAAACAATCAGGTGAAAGAGAGGTAATTTTATCATGTTTATTAAATTGAAAAATTAAGAAATTTAGACTACTTCACAAGACTTACACTCAGTAGATTCTGAATTATAGGTGTGAGCAGTTGAAACATCAATGAGGGTCTGGATGGGGTATACAGAATAGATAATAATGGACAAAAAGAGCAGAATAAAGGGTGAAAAAATTACAGAATAGACAAAAATAGACAAAAAAATAAAGAATAGCAAATAATGGTGTGTTAAAATGTAAAGAATAGAAAATAATGGGCAAAATAAATAAAGAAAA